TCAGTAAAAGATTAGTGGATCATAAATTCTCTCTCCCCTTTCCATATAACACACACACACACACACATACACACACACACACGCACGCACGCACTTTGACCACACATATATTTCCTTTTCTTTTTCACTGAACAAAGGTATGGTGATATTATATTTGTCCAAACCAAAGCACAAGAGAAGAGCTACTATAAATTAGGGTGTGCATGTCCGTGTGCATTTGTGTGTCCACATGTGTGTGTATGCATTTATGTCGTCTTTTTCTCCTAAAGCAGTTAAGTATGCATATGACAACACCGAGAAAACATCTGTAATTCAGTGTTCAAAGTTGTGTGCCAGGTGCTGAGTTTACGTATTATATGTATGTGTGGATTACACCCATACACGGCACATTTAGAAAGAACACAGACAGATGAAGGAACCTCTGCCCTTTCCCCCTGGCTGTCCCTCTTTCTACCATTTTACAGCCTTTTGCCACAGCAAGAAAAACTGTGAGCAGAACTCAGCAATCAGAAACTCTTGGGTGTGGAGGGAAAGGGTGCTTGCCTTGCATGTGGCCAACCTGGTTCACTCCCCAGCATCCCATGCGGCCCTCCCAGTCCTGCCAAAAGCGACCCCCAAGCAGAGAGCCAGGAGTAAGCCCTGATCGTTGCCAGGTGTGGCCACCAACCCCCTCCCCACCCGCCAAGAAAAAGAGAAAGAAAAAAGGTCATGGGTCTGGCCACACTTTTCTGGCGGGCAGACCACTACGCCTTAAAGCTGAGCAGACACAGGGACTTGGCTTTCCTCCTCCCCCTCTGAGGCGAGGCAGGGCAGAGCCTGCAGCTGGCCACCCCCCCCCCCCCCCCCATGTGCTGACTCCGGGCCTTACACCTCGCCTGCAGGCCTCCGCCCTTCAGAAAACAGAGCAGGAGACTCCAGTTGGGCTTAACCCGAAAACAACATGCAATGCAGCTCTCTTAGAGAATCATTTCTCAATGGGGAGTGTGTGTGTGTGTGTGTGTGTGTGTGTGTGTGTGCATGCGTGCGCGCGCACACACACAATGTGGCAGACTGTGAGCCTCCAAGACATCCAAGAAGACCACAGACAAATGGTGGAAACGGGGGGATCTAGGAGACCAGGAAGTCAGTCAGCAGGATAGGACAGGCAGGTCCCAGGAAAGAAACGAGGCTGGAAAGAGATGGAGAAGTGCTGCCCATTATAGAGAACACTCAGGGGAGAGGGTTTGCCCGTAATTGTGAGATAATCTGACTGACATTCTTATACTAAACGGACAGATTCAGGGACAAGAGCCTCAAAAAGGAAGAAATAGAAACGGGAAGGTTCAAGGACCCAAATCCCATCCGAACTCCTGATTATAGAGAACAGGAGGGGCACCACACAGTTAGTGTGCCAAAGGGTGCGTTTTCTTGCCTCGTGGCCTGACTGGGAGGAGAACATGAGGCAAGGCACCCTGCTAGAGGTGGCACTGAGCTGAAACTTTAAGGATGAGGAGTCAAAGGCTGAGAGAGTGGGAACCCCTGAGAATTTTCAAAACTAGCATCGATAAGCCCAAATATGATAGGAACAGTAAAATGAACACACAAAGGGGGTGATCAGTGATACCAAGTCAACCAGTGCCCACTCTCTTGCCGTGGGAAGCTTGAGCAACTTGGGCAAGGAGAAGAGTCCCCGGACAGGGTTTGGTCAGTGAACTCCCACAGCTTCAGTGAATTCTCTCCATTCCCAATCCCCATACTCTAGTATTGCTTTCTGACTGCATATCACTGGGTCACTTTTGAACCAAGAACTCCGTTTCTTGGGAGCCTGAAACCAGAAAAGAAGTTGTTGTTGTTCTTTGTTTTGGGGACACGTCTGGTGATGGTCAGGGCTTTACTCCTGGCTCTGCACTCAGAGTCACTCCTGGCAGTGGGACACTGGGGATTGAACTCAGGTCAGCTGCATGCCAAGACAAAGCATCTTACTCGCTGTACTCTGGCTCTGGCCCCAGAAGGTGCCTGATTACTAGAAAAAGACAACCCCATTCCTATTGATCACAAGGATAATTTGAAGATGCTTCCACCTCCTCATCACCTGCCCCCAATCAATCAGGCTCCCTCCTTTGGCTACTGAGTTCATCCAGGGTGATGCCCCGTAGAGCTCACTGAACAAACTGGTCCACTAGCACCCCCATCTGGTGGCTGTAGGACTTGTACCTAAAGACAGTGAAACAGCATACAGGGAAAAAAGAGGGTGTGTGTGTGTGTGTGTGTGTGTGTGTGTGTGTGTGTGTGTGTGTGTGTATGGAGATGGAGGGGAGATGAGAGATGATTATAAAAGGCAACTGAGTCAAAGAGATGGAAAATTCTCCGTAAAGCAAAAGCCTCTTACGGAAGCATGCTGAAAACATCATAGAGATTTTGAGCCAAGCTTCAAGTTCTATGTGCAGAATGGGGACAAGGGCCAGTAGACAGACTAGGGCCTGGTAGATGATGGCATGCCTGGTAGATGATGGCATGCATGTGTAACCATGGTAGGGGCACCTCACTGACCGCCTTTCTGCAGCTGGCTCACCTAAGTCTTTCATGCTTCCTGGTCCAATGCTAAAAATCCCTTCTTTTGATTGCAGGTACTTGGTGACCCTGTTCTTAAATCTGTCTGGACTCTACACATCGCTTCTGCCTCTCTCTTTATACAAACTGATGCACTGCATCTGACCTTGCTGAGTACTTGTGCCTGATGAGAACAAAAGCTCTCATGTTCACGTCTGAATCTCCTGGCAGTGTCATAAACGGACGACAAGCCAATAAATATGCATTCGGTGTTTTCAGAAACAGATGGGCGTTGAAATGTTCCTTTTTCAGAGTGACAGATTCTGCTTCTGCTTGGCATTCTCCCAACCTCCACTCTCTCCTTCTCCTTGATGACCTGAATCCCCACAGGAAGATTCTATCTCCAAGCTTCCCTTGAAGCTAGATCATGTGACTTTTGTGCTTGCCAGAGGAGTGGAGCAGCCGAGATCTGGGAAACAGCCTAAAAGAACACTGAGGGTCCTAAAGGCCGTTTCTCCTTTCCTCAAGGGTGAGGAAGGACATGCAAGCAACCAGACTTCAATGATCTGTGGGGAGGAAGAAGCGTTAAGAGATGGTGGAAGGATAAGATCTAAAGAGCCTGGGTCCCAAATCACCTTGGAAACAGAGCTGTTCTCTTTGCACAGAGCAGTCATACTTGTATGAGAGAAACAGCCTATCGTTTTTGGCAGGGGGAGTGGCATACCTTTTTTTTTGGCTGTGCTCAGGGCTTATTCCCAGTTCCGTACTCAGGGATCACTCCTGGCAGGCTCAAGAGACCAAATGTGTATTCAGAATCTTACCCAGGTCAACTACATGCAAGGCACCTACTAACTGACCTATTTTTTGGGTGATATTCTTTTGGTCACTATACAAAGGAGCCTTTTTTCAACACTTGAACCTCTACCAACTATTTCCCCCAAATCGATTCTTCCATCATTTTCTTTGTTGGGGGTGTGTTCTGGGTCACACCCTGTGGTGCTCAGGCACTATTCCTGGCTCTGTGCTCAGAGTTTACTCCTGGTGGTACTTAGAGGGCTAAAGGTGGGATGGGGGATTTGAATTGGGGCTTGCTGCATTCAAGACTTAAATTCCTGTACTTTCTCCCTGGTCCCCCGTTCTTGAAATAATCATCTTAGTTTTCAAATTGGGCAGATTAGTTACCAGTAAAAAAGGCTACATTTCCCAGCCTCCTTTTATACCAAATGGGTAAAGTTATGGCCAATAATGTAAATTGTTATACAGGACTTCTGAGTAAATTTCCTTTTAAATTAATCAGGCATCTTTTCCCCTCAACTTCCTCTTTCCCACTGACTGGAAAGTTCATGGGATGGTTGCAAGTTTTGAATTTATATGGATTTTTTTTTGTTTATTTTGGGGGCCACACCCGGATATGCACAGGGCTTACTCCTGGGTGGCTTGGGTGACCATACAGGGTGCCAGGAATTGAACTCAGCTGTGAGCAAGGCAAGTGCCCTACCCACTGTACTATCTCCTCAATCTCACGGGTGCGGTTTTTGAACCTTGAAGTTAGACGCTAATAATCCTGAAGCTAGAGAAAGCCAGGATGGAACGTCTCTGATGAGCACTGCCCAGTCGCCAATGTTAGATAAGATTCTTCACCGGACAGAAAAAAGTCTCCCTAATATAAGCTGTGTTTCGCTTTGCTGTATGCAGGTGAAGAATGCTAAGTAAAAAATACGCTTTAGGTCGCTGGGACACACAGCATTTCAAGCCTCAACTTGATTCCTGCGAGAAAAGAGGGGAAATCACTACTTTGCAATGCAGGAAGAAGGCCAGCTTCCAATCCTCCGGAAAGGAGTCCACTGGCCTTTTGTGCTTACGGAACCAGCTCCACAGGGAGTCCTCGGACTGGGAAAACACACACACACACACACACACACACACACACACACACACACACACTCGGGGCCCAGCAGGAGCCAACAATCGTGGCTCAGTGAGGGATCGTACCATGTGGTGGCAGAAATGAAGTGGGGTGAATGGGGGAGGGGAGAGGCGAGGTGACCCAGCTCTGCTTAGCAAAGGCTGGGGGCGCGAAGCCCTGCCATGTAGGTCAACCCAGGCGGACCTCCTGGGGGGAAATTAAGAAGCATCTCTTGAAAATGGGCATTTTCGATCTCGCACGGTCGCCTTGATGCCTGACGCTCCGGATGGAGCCCTGCCCTGCTCCTCCCGGGACTACCCTTCCCCCGACCCCAGCCAGGCACGACGGACCCCAGATGCTCAGGCGCGGAGGGCAGGGAGGGGAAGGGGTGGCCGAGGGTCAGCCCCAGCGGGGCGCATCCCGCTCTCCCGGCCTCGCGTCTCTCCACCTGCAAAGCGGGCGGCTCTCGGGGTGCACGGGACGCCCGCGCCGGGTCCCGGGGGTGCAGCCGAGCCTCCCCGGGGCGCGCGTGTCCCCCCAGCCCCGGCCCCGGCCCCCCACTCACCCTCCTCGGACAGGTAGCGCAGGTCGTAGAACTCGCCCGCGAAGGTGCCGTAGGAGGAGTCGTGGCGCGGCCCCGTCTCGTCGGCGGCGCCCGCGTCCCCCCGCGCGCGGCCCCGGGGTCCCCGACCCCCCGGGCCCGCGCCGTCGTCCGCGGGGCTGGCGGCGCACGCGGCGAGCCCGGCCAGCAGCAGCAGCGGCAGCCGGAGCGGCGGCGCCCGGACCCCCGCGCGCGGCTGCGGTTGCGGTTGCGGCTGCGGCTGCGGCTGCGGCTGCGGCTGCGGCTGCCGGGGCGGCCGCTCCATCGCTGCGCACCGAGCTCGGGCCGCAGCGGGGGCGCCGCGGGCGCGCGGGGCCGGGACTGCGCCGCCGCCGCCGCCGCCGCCGCCGCCGGCACCCGCACGCGCACGCGCCGCGCCGCCTCCCGCGCATCCTCCCCGGGCCCGCCCGCGCCCCCTCCCCGGGTCCGGGGCGCCTTCCGCTCCCCCGTCAACTGGCTGAGATCCGTGGTTTGCAGGATTTCATTTTTTTTTTTAAATCATAGCTCTGGTCTTTGTTAAAATCTAAATCAGTGAAGAGCCATGGCTTTTTCCTAGCCTCGAACTTGAAGGTTATACTGTGATCACTGTAAGAACAATGTATTTCTTTTGAAAATTGCAACATTATTGACCTAAGAATGTGTAACTGTGTGTGTGGGCTGGAGAAAAAGAACAAAGGTGAAGGTGCCGCCTTGAAAACTACTGAGCCCAGTTTGACTCCCAGCATCACATGTGTTACATTGAACACCAACAGGATTTCATTTTTAAAAAAATTAGGTTTATTTATTTATATTTGGGGGAGGGTCGCACCCGGCAATGCTCAAGGCTTGCTCACTCCTGGCTCTGCGCTCAGGAATCATTCCTGGTGGTTCTCGGGGGACCCTCTGGGAGGCCCGGGATGAGCGCCCGGGGCCAAACGCCCTCTCTGCTGTACTATCACTCTCGCCCCCAATAAATAAGGTTTTTATTGAGTTTTGACCTTTTGGGTCACATCCTGTGATGCTCAGGGTTTACTCCTGGCTCTGCTCTCAGGAATCATTTCTGGAGGTGCTCGGGAGACCCTCTGGGAGGCCAGGCATGAATCCAGGTCAGCCTCGTGCAAGGCAAAAGCCCTCCCCGCTTGTACTATTGCTCTGGCCTCAATACATAGCGTTTTTATTTATTTTTGGCTTTTTGGGTCACACCCGGTAATGCTCAGGAGTTACTCCTGGCTCTGCACTCAGGAATCACTCCTGGCGTTGCTTGGTGGACCCTATGGGAGGCCAGGGATGAGCGCTCAGGTCGGCCGCGTGCAAGGCAAACGCCCTCTCTGCTGTACTATCGCCCTGATCCCAATAAATAACGTTTTTATTTATTTTTTAACTTTTTGGGTCACACCCGGCGATCCTCAGGGGTTACTATCTGGCTCTGCACTCAGAAATCACTCCTGGCGGTGCTGGGGGACCCTATGGGAGGCCCAGGATGAGCCCGGGTCAGCTGAGTGCAAGGCAAATGTCCTCCCCGCTGTACTATAGCTCTAGCAGTTTACAATATTCTTAATAAGGGTGTCTCCTCTTTATAAGAGCTTCTCATGCACCTAATTTCAACGCCAGGCCCATCACCAGTATACTGAGGTGGCCTTTTCAAACCCTTGCTACTTAAGAGGGTGGTGGGCTGATCACCAGCGGGAAGCTGGCTGGCTTCGTTGATTACTGGTTCCATTGATAATCTGCATCTGAGGAAGATCCCCAAATGCTGCCTCTCCACGTTAAAGCAGGGCTCCTCCTCCTCCAGGGTCTAACCTTGGCCACACACGATCAGGGCGGCAGCTTCCCCTGCTTTGCTTCAGTCCTTTGGGGTTTGCAGAAAGAGCTTAGTGGACCATTTACTTCCGGGGATCTTTACAGAAGAAAGTGAACAAGAACAAAACTGGACAGACAGGGAAATTGAGGTGCTGGGAACCTCCAGGGAGACTAGAAGCCAGCTAGCTTTCTTCAATAGATTTACTTGCTTCCTCTCAGGACTTTTAAGGTATTAAATCACCGCGGTTGGCACTGCAAATCTATCCCCTTCAGAGGCTGGCAAACAAAAAACAGCTTTGCTGTTTTTTTCTGCGGAGAGCAGGCCCACAGGTGGGTGTCTGGATGGCCGAGCTGAATTCTCTTGTGCCCGATTAGTGTGTGCTGCCTGCAATCCACTTTCAGTTGGTTACTCAACCATTCATTTATTCACACCTTGCTCTTAACCCAAGTCTGCTCCAGAGACTCCTTTACAAGGATGGTTGTCGAGTGACAAGGTCTGCCAACTGTTTTATTTTATAAAACCTGGACATCAGGGGCTGGAGCGATAGCACAGTGGGTAGGGTGTTTGCCTTGCACCTCAGCTGACCCGGTTTGATTCCCAGCACATCCCATATGGTCCTCTGAGCACTGCCAGGAGTAATTCCTGAATGCATGAACCAGGAGTAACCTCTGTGCATCAACCGGTGTGACCCAAAAAGAAAAAAAAAACCTGGACATTATATATATATATATATATATATATATATATATATATATATATTAATGAGGTACTGCAGGGCATCCAACTTCTTGACTGTGTAAGAAAATAATTTTGGAGGCAGAAAAGCACTGAGGTTCCGAATGCAGGGCCAGGAGCTGATGGTCCGCAAACCTCCATGATGGCAATGAAGGTTAATGAGTCAAGTGAGTGCCAATGGGGGTCTTTGTCTTCATGGGCTGCATGAATGTGCACACAATTTTGAAGTATGAATATTCAAAAGTAAACTAGGGTTCTCGAACTTTTTTTCTCGACCCAGAGAAGCTAGGGGACAGGTTCTACTGTCAGAATTAGTTATTCTATGTGCTCAGAAGGTCACCTGTTTGCTTGGTATCATTTGATTCTTCAGTTTTATCCTGACTGGTGCCAAGGGCATAAAGCCTGAAAATCTTGAGCTTTACTGGTTGTCCCAATATACCAGTTGTTGCAAGAAATCAAGAAATAAATCAAATTGATTGTTTGATTGGTGGAGGGGGGGTGGCCACACCCAGGGCTTATTCCTGACTCTGCATTGAGAGACCATCTTCGGTGTAGAGCCAGGGGACCATGTGGGATACTGGGCATCAAACCTGGGTCAGCCTGGCCAATGCCCTTCCTGCTGTACTATTGTTCCAGTCCCAGATTTATTGCTTGTAAAAGAAAAAGATAAACTACAATCTACAATAACAAAACCAAAGCAGTGACTTTATTAAAAGTTTTGCAATGGATAAGGTTCTAATATTCAAAAAAAGGTCAACTGATTGAAAATATGTTCATGTGTCATCCTTTTCAAAAACCCTGTCTCTGGGATCAGAGATAGTTCAGCGGGGAAGGTGCTTGCCCTGCATGTGGCTGACCCAGGTTCAATCTCTGGCACCCCATCTGGTTCCCCAAGCCCACCAGAACTGATCCCTGAGCTCAGAGCCAGCAGTAAGCCCCACACATCACCAGATGTGGCCAAAAAACAAACAAACAAACAAAAACTGTCTCTCCAGAGCATATGAGAGAGCCGGAGCATATGCTTTGCATACTGAAGCCCCAGGTTCCAGCCTTGACCACTACTTGGTTCTCTGAGCACCAAGCCTGGAGTAGCCCTGAGGACTGCTTGGTGAGATGCCAAAATCAAAACACTGGAAAATGGTAGGGGAAAAACACACACACATCAAAAATTTCTTTCTCAAAATGGAAACAGCTTTCTTTTCCTCTCCTCCTGTCCCCCAAGGAAAGTTGGGTGAGTTCAAAATGAACAGATGTTGAGCTGCTGCTAACTGGGGCTGGAGTAGGGCGTTTGCCTTGCATGCGGCCAGCCTGGGTTCAATTCCCAGCATCCTATACAGTTCCCCGAGCACTGCCAGGAGTAATTCCTGAATGCATGAGCCAGGAGTAGCCCCTCTACATCACCGATGAGAACCCCAAAAAAGCAAAAAAAAAGAAGTACCTTTATTATCTCTTCTAATCAAAGCCTTAAAACAACTTTTTTTTGGGGGGGGGTCACACCTGGCGATGCACAGGGATTACTCCTCGCTTTGCACTCAGGAATTACTCCTGGCGGTGCTCAGGGGACCATATAGGATGCTGGAAATCGAACCTGGGTCAGCCGCATGCAAGGCAAATGCCCTACCTGCTGTGCTATTGCTCCAGCCCCCACAATTTTTCTTGTTGTTGCCAAGTCCTCTGTTCTCCACATCCCCGCCACCACACACATACACTCTAATGTTATATCTGATTAGTAAATGATTCGTTTATGCTTCTATTTAGTGTGTGATTTTCTTTTTCTGGGTTTTAAGGACTTGGCTATACCTAACAGTGCTCAGGGATCATTCCTGACTTAGCTTGAAAAACTATAATGGGGTACTAGGAATCAGTCCTGAGTCAACTGCATGCAAGGCTAACTGCTGTACCCTCCAGCCTCTAGTAGGTAATTTTTTTAATAGAAATATGGAAAAGTTCTGTAATGAATTAGTGGTGATGGCAGACAACGTTGGAATTTACAGATCACTGAATTATACCTTTGAAATGGTGACTTGGGGGTGGCGGTGGGAGGATGTGATTTGGACCAGAACTGGAAGTGCTCAAGGATTACTCCATTAGAGATCTTTTGGGGACAATATACTGTACAGGGGCTCCAATGGGTGTCAGTCACATGCAAGGCAAGGACCTTAACTCCTGTACTATCTCTCTAATCCTAAAATGGCAAATTATATTTCAATTTTTAAAGGAGGGCCAGGGAGATAGCTTAATAGTCTGGGTTTGATAGTTTAATAGGTTGGGTTTGATCCCTGGCACTGCATATGGGCTGCCAGCACATTGAAAGTGTCTCCTGAGCACTGATTCTGTGGCCCCTAAACAAACAAGCAAAAAAATTAATAATGAAAAGTGATCTTTGAGATAGTAAAGAAATGATAAAGACAGTATCAGAGCGTTCCTGTGATATTGTGGGGATATAAAATTTAGGGTATGGGGGGGGGTCTTCTGAATGTTCCAGGGCCTTGGTTTTAAACTCATCCAATGAGACCATTTCTCACGGAGTTTGCCAATTCTGTGTGTTCAGAAGGGGCATTTGCATGCCCCTTCAGGGGCCCTGCCCCTTGTCCACCGAGAACCGGAGAACACGTGGTCCAGTTTGGAGCCCTTGCTTTGTAAAAATTATGTCCACAACGGCTCCTCCACTTCCACCCTAAACACAGTTGTGTGATCTTATGGTGCTGCTGGTTTGGTTGTAGGTTTATAGAGAATGGTGAACAATTCCATCAATTCATTTTAGCTCCGGTCATTTTGTCCAGCCCACACAACGTCATCAACTGGGGTCCCAGTGATCCCACCCCCCATCAGCCACTCCAGCAGGCAGCGCAAATAACCAGGACGACAGTGGAAACATTGGAAGGAATCCTCTTGGTTTTACTGGTTAGAGGTGAGCTGCCAAAGGTACTAGGTTTTCAAACACAGTAACAACAGCCAACTTAATTATGAGCAGACTTTCAGTTGACATCAACCTTCGGGACGTCCGTGAACCCAGAGGGAGGTGGGGAAGAAGCAGGAGGCCAGCACCTCCTGAAAACTGCAGCCACAAAGCCCATGCACCCTCCTCAGAAGCCTGGTCCACCCGACATGGAAGCCAGGAGGGGTTTCCCAGTTTCCTTGAGCAAATAAAAACATTGCTTCCATCCGTCAGGGAGCAGGGAGTGGAGGGCAGAAGACTCCAAAAGCAGGTAGGACGAGGAGGAAGGCGCTGGGCTGTGACAAGGAGGTGACAAGCCCAGACACGTGTTATCTCCCCCCTACTGTACAGGAACACGTCTTGTAGCATGTGCACGAGAGAAGGAACAGAGAAAGCTGTTTGAGAAGAACAGCCCAGGGTCACGTAGCGTGGGATAAAAGGTCCCAGACACTGCCATCGCCCCAGATGGCCTCACCAAGAGAGCAGACACACGTGGGCAAAAACCATCCACAAGCAAAGCGCGGTGGCCTGTAGGGAGGCAAAGCCGAGCCCGGTGCACGGTGATGACGTCACTGCACCACACCCAGGTACACGTGGGGCTGATGCTGATAATGATGACCGTGACTCTTCGTGAAAAGGTTAAATACTCTCCAGGATATACTCTGTTTACTAAGGCAGGGACGTTATGTAATCCATTTTAGAAAGATTTCCCTCGAAAAATATTAAAATTTTTTTAGGTTCAGCACTTAAAGGGTTAATCCTCTGTTATCTGAATATTTGTTTACAGGCCTCCTTCTGCAACAATGCTAGTAAACGAGGCATTACTTTTTTTTTTTAAATAATCATTAGTATCAAATTATTGGCACCATTCAGTTTTAAGAATATAGGGACAGGAGAGCAAACTATACAATAAAACATAAAAATACAATTCTGATACAAATATACGAGATCAATTCCACTTTACAAGTGGACATAAGAAATGGATGAACATTTTATACACAAAGAAATACAGCTAGTAAATGATCACATGGAAAAGTGCTCAGCTTTGCTAGCAGTTAATAAAATAAAACGACCTCTCAACAACTATACACACCTATTAAACTAGTGAAAATAAATTAAAATGGCAAAACTCAATGCCGGCAGAGCTATTTGTAAATAGAAATGCTTATACATTGCTGGTGGCGTCATAAATTGTAGAGGGGATTCAAGCATCCAAAGGGGAGGGAGGGTTGAATTAGATGACCTTTAAGATCCTTCCAACCCAAAGATTGGATCTTTCTAGAAAGCAGTCTGGCAATATGAAACAAGAGCTATAAAATAGTTCATGCTCTTTGACCTTGTCAAATCCCCCTTTGGAGATATTCCAAAGGAAAGAATTCAAAGAAAACAACATTTTTTTTTACAAAGACATTCATAGCAGCGTGATTTATGAGTGGAAACACTTGGATCTGACTCAAATATTGAGAAGAAATAAGATTAATTGTGTTACGTACATAGAAAAATGTTTGAATTGTCAAGAGTAGAATCTGTGTTGCTAAGCGGAGATATTTTAGGTGAGAAAGTACAACCAAAGAGTATGTACACAGTGATCACAGATATGTAAAAGTGTATGCTTATTCATTAGGAAAGCTTTGGAAACAAGATAGATTTAGAGGGATGGTGTGTGAAGAGGGGGTTCCTTTATTCCTGCAAAGTTGTTCAAGTGCATAATAAAAATTTAAAAACACATTTCTTGAAACTATATAAAAAGAGAGCAAAATTTCTTCTGGTCAAGTTTCTATCAACAGGACATGAATTGATCAACTTTAGAAATAATTTCCCTTTATGGAACACCCAAATGAGTCTGGATATTGAATCATCTTAACCTTGTAAGAATTTTTTGACAATTTGATCCACAATTTCCTACCTCGAGTTCAATGATAAATTCTATGTAATCCAAATAATATTGTATCCAACAAATTCACAAGTTAAATTATATCTTGGATTAAACTGAATTACTGTCAGTCTTGGTGATTGCAACCTTTTTTTTAGTTCATCTACTCAGGTTTGAATAAAAATGAATGTTAGGACTTTGTATTTACCAGTCTAAATGGGAAAAAAAAACAGCATTAAAGAATTATTCTCTCATTAAAAACAGTCAACGCTTGGTGCAAGTTTCAATCATACAAAATCACATGGTTGAGACTGATAATGGAGGATTCCATGCCAAGTGACCCCTGTGTTTAGTGACATACACACACAGGAACTTCTGAAAAGGAATCCCCGTTTTCCCATCTTTCTTCTCCTCGGCTGACCAAATCCTGCCTCGGTTACACTGAGCAGTAGAAAAACTAATACTCAGGAGACAGAAAATAACTTTTCTGAATTCAAGCCAGAAGCTGGCTTCGACTAACCATGGATACCCTGGCGAACAGAGCACACATGTGTATGCTGTGCTAGAGTGAGCACACGAAGCCCGAAGAAAAAAAACGGACAGAAGGCACCATGCCATCCTCCAGGCAACAGGGGAGAATTTCACAGTTCGGTCATTAATAGTCTTTTCATCATTTTCTCTCTCTCCAGTTCCTGCCGGAGTGTCTCTGCACTGAAGAAAAAAAAAAAAGACAAATAACAAAATGGTGAGTTTAAACCCCCCACATTGCAATAGGGTCTGTCTTGCTGTCATTTTCTAGGTCTTTCCTTCCTTCTTCCTTTCCTTCCTTCCCCCTTCCTCCCTTCTCCCCTTCTTTTCCTTCCTCCCTTCCTCTCTATTAAAGTTGGTTTTGTTTTTGTTTTAAAAATTTTTTTGACCACACCAGGCTGTGCTCATTCCTGGCTGGCTCTGTGCTCAGAGATCATTCCTGGGGTGGTGCGCAAGGGATTATATACAGTGTCGGGCATCAAACTGGGGTTGGCCACATGCAAGGCAAGAGACTTAACCCCTGGACTAACTCTCTGGCCCTATATAAAAAAAATTATAGAGTTTGAGCAAAGCATAGACTCAAAATGATGATCATCAAACCAGAAGGGGTCAAGAGTGTTCTGACCCAGAGTTTTTTCTTTTTCGTTTTTGCGTTAGGGCTACACCCAGTGATACTTAGGGATTATTCCTGGCTCTGCACTCAGGAATCACTTCTGGCAGCTCATGGGGGACCACAAGGGTTTATTGGGGGTGGAATCAGGTCAGCCTTATACAAGGCAAGCACTTTACCCACTGTACTATCTCTCATCCCCACCCCCAGAATTTTTTTCTTGATCTCATTCTTGACTCTCTCTTTCATGCTCTTTAAGGACACTTTTCATTACATCTGCTTGCATTACAATAACTTGAAATTGTTTGGAAATTCATTGATTTCCTCCACTAGGCTAAGAGGTCCTCAAGGGCCTAGTCTTCAGGGGACTAACTATTCATCTCTAAAACCAAAAGCCTGGTATGAGATCTTGTGCATAACAGTGACTCAATTAAAATTCTTTGAATGAATGGGAAGATATCCAGTTTTTAGCGTTTTTTTTAAATCAGTGGTTTCAGCAGTTCCATTCCTTGGCATCTATCCCAAGCGCGTGCGCGCACACACACACACACACACACACACACACACAACACATTACATTGAAAAGACACGTGCACATCTATGTTCACTGCAGTACTATTTAAAATAGCCAAGATTGGAGGTGGGGAGGGGTGTGAGGAACAATCCAAGTGCCCAAGAATAGATGAGAGGATAAAGAATCTATAGTCTTTACACGCAGTGGAATTACTACTCAGTTCTAAGAAAAGATGGAATTTTGCAGATTACTGCAACTTGAATAGAACTGGAGGGTGTCTTCCTAAGTAAAGTGAATCAGGAGGACAAATATCAGATTATCTCACCCATATTTTTAGTCAAAAGAAACAAAGCAAGGGAATAGACACTGGCTAACGCAAACAAGCCCCAGGGTTCTGTCAACAGACTTGGCCAAGCGGAAGCCAAACAGAAAAGGAGCCAGGGACAGTAGCGGAGGGAATGTTGGCAGTCTGGGGGTTGGGGAGGGGGGGTGCAGTAACACTGTAGGTCTGAAACATTATGATTAGTACCATAAATCATGACACCTTAAGGAAAAAAAATCAGTAGTTTCAAGCTTTTCACACCTGTGGACCTGTACCACTCCATGGACGACATGAAAACCACTGCTTTAAATTCTGATTTAGATTGGTTTCACATGCACTTTCTTCCAGAGCTTCCTCCCCCACAACAAACATACCATACTATACATACATATACATATATAATACATACCATATATACATCATGGTATGGTATGTGTGTTATATGCTATGTGTTTTATATATATATCATACCATATGGTATGGTGTGGTATACACACACATATTTTACTGTTCATTTGGTATTGGACCATACCTAGTGGTGCATAGGGTTTACTCGTGGCTCTCTGCTCAGGGATCACACCTGGCAGGGCTTCAGGAAACCATGTGGGGTGATGGTGATCCAACTCAGGTTGGCTGTTGGCAAGACAAGTACCCTACTCGCTCTACTGTCCTTCTAGCCCCTCCCCCTCTATACTTTCACAAACAAAATTGCGATAAAATTGGCTTTGAGAGTTGCCTTCTAACTTCTCGGCCCTCAGGTCCAATTACCTCTCCGCAGAATCTGTCCCTGATTAAACAGACACACATTCACGCACACACAGAAGGTGGTATGCATCTTTCAGGGCACCAACCAAGTTTTAAAAATCGTCTCATTCTGGATGGGAATAAAAATTTTCTACTGCAGCCAATACGGCCCTACACGATCTGGCTCCAACATGCTCTGCCCGAGAAGGCTTTGCACCCGCAGATTCCTGCAAGAGCAGATTCTTTCCCCAAACAGCACAAGCTTGCTCGTTCACCACCCTCGGATCTCCACTTCAATACCTTCTCAATGAGGCCATCCCCCAGTGTACATTGTTGCCCTTAGTGGTTTTGGTCTTCTTCCTAGCACATGTCACTATATGATTTACACACACACACACACACACACACACACACACACACACACACACACACACTTTTGTTTAAGGCCTGCCTCTCCACTCCCCAATGCTAAACTGTAAACTCTAAATACATAAAAATACTTCCATCTGTTTAGCTCAGTCTGCCTCACCTAGCCCCTTGCCTAGCCATTGTCATTTAAATAAAAGCCACATATAGGAATGACAGTGTGCAGGAGAGGGCAGGTCTCACAAGCCAAATGCACCGTGGACCTGGGGCTGTTTTGCCTGTCACCAGTTACCTGCCAGCACCTGCTGATGGGACTGACCTGGCGGCCAGAGAGACGGGCTTCCGTGTGCCGTAGATGGTCTGCACTGTGGACACAGTCTCTGCCAAAGGCCTCAGGGTCGCGGCTGGAATCAGTGGGGAAGACTGGCCAGGACAGCATGGTAATTTACTGTCTCTAAAGTCGGCCTGGGAAGGCAACACAAAGAGGGGAATCAGGGGCCAGGAGACAGTTCAACATGGGATCCCCTGAGCACCACCAGGTGCAGCCTTGGAAGCCCCCAGCGATGCCTGGGTTCGCAGGGGCAGCCTCCCCCGTCCTGTTCCACAGGATCCAAGCAATGTGGCACTCTCGGGACCTCACACTGACCTGCTGGCTGGGCTGGCCCGAGCCCTGCTCAGGAGCCTCCCTGTTTCACCATCCCCCAGGAGAAAACAAAGGAGGAAATCAATCTCAATTTGGGTTCCATTTTCCCATTGTCAGCTGCTCCCCACGCCTCACCATGCAGGCAAAAATCAATCGCCATTTATTAAATGATTCTACTGTGTGCCAGGCCCGAGGCTAAGCACACTGCATCTTGACAGTCACTGCAGGTAGAGATTATCCTTCTTCATGTCTTAGCATCCACGGAAAGAGGCACTTTTTTTTTTATGAGCCAGGAATAAAGGAAAATGTGCCCATAGGTCTTGGTCACGCTCACAACCGTAATGAACATTCTAGGAGATTTTACAAGGTGAAAGAGTGCACATCTCAGAACTGATTTTTATGGAAGATGAAGCTTAGAGAGGGGAAGTAATCTTCCCCCAACCACAGGATGAATATGTGGGAAGGTCTGGCATTCAGGACTAGGATTAGCTGACTCCAAATTGGTGCCTTTCATTCCTGCAGCTGTGAGGATGGTCCCTGGAACCTTGATAACAGCAAGATTTTGAAACTTGGTAAAAATGAAAATTCTCAGTCTCATCCAAAGTCTTGAAAACCAGACTGTCTGGGTATGAAGTTCAACTTTCTGATAATTCTGATATACAGTAAAAGTGTCAGACTGAGAATTATCAGTCTAATGTCCACTGCCCTATTTGGAAAGAATACTTAAATGCCGTTGTTTTCATTACAAAGTATGATATATACTTTCACAAGAAAAACTTGGAATCTGCATAAGATACATGGAGAAATTTCATAATATCTTAATGCTGTTAGTATGCATTTTCATAGTACTTTCCCCTGTGTATACTTTTAATACCCTTTAAAAATAATAATAATAATTTGTATTATTGGTAAAAACAATAATTTCATTATTATTATTATTTTGGGTTTGGGGCCACACCTGACAGTGCTCAGGGCATAATATGGCTCCAAAACTCAGGAATCACACTTAGGAGGGCTTGGAGAACCACATGGCATGCTGGGGATTGAACGAGGATTAGCTAGCTACGTGCACGGCAAGTGCCCTACTGGCTATTTTAATGTTTGCTTTAACTCATTCGTCCTGATACAAGAGCTGGAGGAAGCAATGTTTTGCTCCTCAGTGAAGTGAGTGGAGGCTAGGCTTTTGATGCTATGTTTTATTCTTACTGGAAAAATAATTAAAAAATGACATTGATTCTACAAAGGCAAAGGGACATAAAAGGGCCAAGAGATTTAGCATAATCTAAGCAGTGGCACCAAACTGTACTAGCAGTCCTTGCTTAAAATGGAAAGAAGAAGGGAAAAAAAAAGCCAGCTTCATTTCAGAATGACCTTGAAGAAGCAGTGAAAATTGCTAACGTTATTAAACCTCAACCCTTGAATGCCATCTTTTAATTAGAAGGCTGTCAGTAACTCCCTAATTAGTCTCTCCGGAGCAGCCCTCGCTCCCAAGTGTCGACCTCGGAGATCCAACTACTCATTCTTTGTTTCCATCTGGATGTTTCAAAGGCCTTTCTAACACATCCTGCCCAGATGCAAACTCTTTACTTCTCCTAATACAGTCTTTTGTTGGTGGTGGTTCTGGGGTGGAGGGGTTGGGCTGTACTCAGGGCTTACTTCTGGCTTTGTGCTTAGGGTTCACTCCTGGCAGTGCTCAGGAATTGAACTGGGGGTCCACTGCATGCAAAGCAAATGCCTTAACCCCGGCACTCTCTCGGGTCCCCATCCTGACTTCTTTCAGATTTCCTGACCTTAGTCCATCCAGCAGGTGAGACCTACAAGTGAGACCTCAGGGAGGCATCTCTGATCACTCCTCCTTCTCCAACACAGTTCCTCACCCTCCTCCTAAAAATACCCCCTACATCTGTTTCTCTTTCTGGTGCTGAGACAAGCTCTCTGCCCTCTCTCCCTGGAGCTTCTGTGTGAGCGTTCCAGACTCTCACCCCACATCCACTCCATCTGGCCCCGGTCACTCTTCTGCTGGCTTCCTACGGAACGGTCTCTAAATCCATCTGTGCTGCCTCCGCACTGCCAATGCCCCCGCCCCCAGAAAACCTGCCCCGGCTTCCTGGACACAGATCAGACTGGTTTGACCCTTCGAGGTTTGTCTCTGCCTCTTCCCCTTCCTCCTCCTCAGCCCCATGCCCCTAAGCCCTACATCTGAGCCTGGCTTTCTTCCCCATCCCTTGAAGAGTGGGATGATGACTGCTGGCCCAAGCCTTGGTTCCTGCAGCTCCTTCTGCCTGCTCCAACTGTCCTCCAGTCTCCTGGCCCAGTTTTAAAAACTCCCAATGCAGTTTCTACTTGCTCCTGGCCCCAGACCTTCAGAAAGGGCTTCCCTGGGTGTATCGTGGTTCTGCCATGGCTGGCAGGAGGCCAGAGGGCCCACCACGGCCAGTTGAGGACAATGGAGGCATCATTTCCTGCTGGGGAGCCATTTGCAGTACAACTGCAGGACCTGATGGATATCTAGGCAGTAGCCCTGAACAGTCTGGCTCAATCCCTCCGGCTCTCTATTTGCAGGGTAGTGTGAAGAGTCACCTAAGTAATGCTCGGGGAGGTGGGGGGGGGCGGGCGGCGGCACTCTCCCAGTGCTCGACCACCAGGCCGGTCAGTTCAGCGCAAGGGCCCCACACTGCAGTGCTGGTCAGGCCTAGTGGTCTCAGGGCTTCCCTCAACAATGCTCAGGGGCCGTATCGGATGGAACTCAGGGCTTCCACCTTCAAGGTATGTGCTCCAGGCCTTTGCTAGTGGAGCTATCTTCCTAACCCCTGTTCTTTTTCATTTTTTTATTATTTTTAGTTTTTGGGTCACACCCGGCAATGCTCAGGGGTTACTCCTGCTTCATGCACTCAGGAATTACTCCTGGCAGTGCTCGGGGGTCCATATGGGATGCTGGGGATCGAACCCGGGTTGGCCGTGTGCAAGGCAAATGCCCTACCCGCTGTGCTATCACTTCAGCCCCTAACCCCTGTTCTTAAAATGCAGGTGTTGAGACCTACGGTCCTAGAAACGAATCATTCTTGAAACCTATTTCATCCTCTGCATCAGCCAGAGCGTCCTCCCTTCCTTTCTAAACGGCTAAAGGCTGGTGGTAGTCATGGACCAGCTCATAAGCCTTTACTTTGACAATCCTCGGTCACCCACAGCCCACCTCAGAGAACCTCAAAAGAGGCAGGAAGTTCTTTAGGAAGTGCTGTAGGCAGCACGGGTTCTAGGAATTGCCAGGTTTGATCCATGGGAGGAGCAGAAGGTGAGGGAAAAAGAGTTAGGGCATTGATGTAGAGGTTGCTCTGGACCTCCTACTTCTAAAGTCCCACCACAGTGAACTTCTCCAGAAGCTTTTATCTAAAGAACCTGGAGCAGAGGAGAACAGGTCGGAAAATAATCAGACTCATTTTGTGGATAAGGAAACAACAATGCTTGGATGCTGAAACACCATATATATATATTTTTTTGGCTTTTTGGGTTATACCTGACAATGCTCAGGGGTCACTCCTGGCTCTGCACTCAGTAATGACTCCTGGTGGTGCTCAGGGGACCACATGGGATGCTGGAGATCGAATCCAGGTTAGCTGCGTGCAAGGCAAACACCCTTACACTGTGCTATTACTCCGGCCCCACTGAAACACATTTGAATGCCTTTGCAATGTTTGAATAAGTTGTTCAGTGGAACCGTGACAGGTATGGGAAGTTGGTTGCCAATGACTATGACTAGTTAATTTTTTGTTAATTTCAGCACACTGACCCTCCAGCCTGGGGAATAACCACTGAGGAATCCCACAATTTTGTAGGATATTCTATTGTTTGGGAAAGTACTTCCAAGTTCTCCATCTTTTTTGATCCTTGCCTCTACTAGTATATAATGAGGGTCTTCTTACTACTATTTCCACTTTAAATAAGAGGAGGGGTACAAAGAGATAATACAGTGGGGAAAGCATTTGCCTTGCATGCGGCTGACCCAAGTTTGATCCCCAGCACTGTCAGGAGATCTCCTGAGCCAGGAGTCGGCCCTGACATTCCTTCCTTCCTCTGTCTTGCCCAACCTCACCCACCAATAAAGAAAACAAGAACAGAATCGTGGCTTGGAGTGGTGAAGTGAGCTAAGATCACATCACCAACATCCAACATCCAACCCAGATTCATGGGACTCGCAAAATACATGTATACCCGTCTCTTCACAGTAGCATTATCTGCAACTGACAAACGGTGTGTATGGGGGCAATACCCAGCAGCAAGTGAGAGGGTAAACAAAGTGGGGTATCCACAAACAATCACATTCCTCCAGAAAAAGAAATGAAAACACGTACATGCCACAATAGGCAAGGACTCAAAAAGAGTCTCAAGGACATTACATCGGGCTGAGAGTACGGCTCAAGGAGTTGGCTTGCCAGCTTCGCAGATGGGAGCCTGGGGTTCAACCCCTGGCACTGCATGGCAAGGAGTAACCCCCTCCAGCAGTGCAATAAGAGTAGCCTCCAAGCACCACTGGGTCTGATCCCCAAACACACCAACCTCCCAATATGATGTTTTTGGGGATCACACCCAGTGGTGCTTGGAGGCTACTCTTATTGCTGAATGGAAGAAATCAGTGATATGAGGTCACATATTTTATGATTCTGTTTATTAGAAATATCTGAATTGTTAAATTCATAGCTTCAGGAGGCAGATGGGAGGTTGCCAGGAATTAGAGGGAAGGAGGAAACAGAGAAACATTAGTAATGGGTGCAGGGCTTCCTCTGAGGGGGGCACAAATATTAGGAACTAGGGCTGGTGCGATAGCATGGAGGTAGGGCGTTTGCCTTGAGCACAGTCGGCCTGGCCGAGCTGGGTTCAATTCCTCCTCCCCTCTTGGAGAGCCCGGCAAGCTACCGAGAGTATCTCGCCCGCACGGCAAAGCCTGGCAAGCTACCCATGACGTATTCGATATGCCAAACACAGTAACAACAAGTCTCAAAATGGAGACGCTACTGGGCCCGCTCAAGCAAATTGATGAACAACAGGAGGACAGTGACAGTGACAGATAGAGGTGGAGTGTTACTTATGCACTAAATGTCACTGAATATTCACTTTTTTTTTTTTTGCTTTTTGGGTCACAGGGGTTACTCCTGGCTCGGCACTCAGGAATTACTGCTGGCGGTGCTTGGGGGACCATATGGAATGCTGGGAATCGAACCCCAGTCAGCAATGGGCAAGGCAAACGTCCTACCCGCTGTGCTATTGCTCCAGCCCTACCTAAATACTCACCGTGAACTATTTACCTTTGTGTCGTGAAACTCACCTGAATAGCATGAAAGAGCTCCAGGAGAGGGTACCCCAACCCCCACTCCCCTCCGACCCCCTAGAGCTCACGGTAAGGCAAAAGCAGCAACCGTGGGAACAAGGCTTTCAAACACAGGTCTGTTCTCCGGGTTTACTTACAGTAAACTGTGGCCCTGTGATGAAAGGTTCAGGAAACGGGGTCACTGTATCAGCTGGGAATGTTTTGATCTTCAAAATAAAAAAAGGAGGGGAGAAAGACAAGAGTCACTTCCAGATTAGATGACGAGGGTTGTCAACTTATGGCAGCACCTCCGAAAGCCGAGTGGAAGGGCTCTGGGGAGCCGGCAGAGCTGTCACTGCTGGGACAAGGCCACACACCAAGGAGCCCTTAGAAGCGGCACCCTTGGGGGTTTCCATAGCCCCCGTGGTCCCGCAGGGCCAGGACACACCCGGATGACAGGCTAGGCCTCACACATGGAGCACACCCCACCCTTACTCCGCCTAGTACTCCCTTCCCCGAGGCCTGCCAGGGTCTTCCGTCCTGCTGGTCTCTGTACACAGCCCGATTATCCATAAAAGGTCACGATGAGGGTGGACAAGGCAAGCTGGGTGGCCCGGGCAGCTGCTGGCTGCCTCTATGGGAGAGGAGGTGACCACCGAGAGGTCCCATTCTACATCCCCGCCCATCGCTGTGGCTGGCTTGCCAGGACCCATCGGGCTAGAACCCTTTCACCATCCATCCACTCTGGTGGATGGGCAGAGGGAAGCGTCGGGGGAGCCCAGCTGGTGAAAATCCCCACGCTGCGGTGTTTGGGGAAGTCCCCCATGTGGGGCCAACTGCGGCAGAGGGCAGGGCTGGAGGGAGCCGGCGAGTCGGTGCCAGGAGGGGCAGGTGCCTACAGAGGCGTCGCTCTCCTTTCCTGCTCGTGGTACTCCAGAAGGCGGCAGGGGAATGCTGAGCCCGACTCTTGCTTCGTCAGGAGTCCCCGGGGGTATGGGCATCGCCTGCGCGCCCACTGGGAGCTGCACAGTGCCACCTGCCACCAGGACACTGTCAGCCAGACCCTCCCGAGGTCTCTCAGGCTCATGTGGATCTGTAACTATGCAGCCAGCAGAGCACCCTGGCACCCCTGAGTTATGTGAATGGGGGCGACAGGCAGGCCTGCTGAGGTTTGCTGGCAGGTGGAGCAGATCTCCACAAATGCCCAAGCCTGTAGCCCTTCCCCACACCCACTCTGATCTCCTTAGAAACAATTCAAAATTCCCAGAAGGGGACTCAAAGTACAATAGGGGGAGGGAGGTCCAGCTCAGAGGGCTGGTCAGGCCCTCCCACCACACGGCAAGGACTCAGGGCAGGGACTCAGGGTGCATCTCTTCCTGGCCTTAATGGTCCAAGGTGGACCTCCCAGTGAAGGGAGAATTCCTGGAGACAGATACTTGTGGAAGGAGAAGGAAGAAAGGGATTAAGACCACTATTCCAGAAAAGAGGAAGTTGGGAGCTCCAGAGAATTCTAGAAGGAGAAGGGTCCTCGACAGGGCCCTCTGTGGTTATGATGGGTCAGTGCATTGGTTCCTCCCGGGGGGTCCCGCATGTGGATAGTGATCTCAGCAGAGGGGAGCCTAAGAAAATGAACTCCCTGGCATGAAACTCATTTCTCTGAATACCCCCCCCCCACCCGCACACACACAGGGTGCCAAACCAGAAACAAAGCATGGGTCCTGCAGTCAAGCATGTGTGAGGGACTTGGGGGAACATTCACTTGATGGAGCACGGACAGTTGACAGTCGTAGAAAATGTAGCCAGGAGATGGAAAGGATGGATCACAGACAAGAGGAGACCAGGAGAGGCTCCAGAACTCGTGAGGACAATGGGGGATGCTTCAGAAGGAAGGACCGTGAATGCACATGAGAAGGAAACATGCACAAACATGGAAGAAAACGCGATGCGGAATGGCAGGCAATTCCTTTCTGTAGTCCGAATACTCGAATAGTTCTTGCAAGTCTTTTTAATTTTCTTTTCCCCCAACAGGAATGTGGCTAAGATTTTCTCTCTGGAAAAAATCTGACCCATGCAGGTCAAAACTCCGGGTATACAACTCTTCCTGCTCTAGGTCTCGAGATCCAGAGATGTTGGGGCAGGCCCTGGTGTCCCAGGTTGGCTGCCCAGGTCTCCAACTTGGCATCCTCTTGGGCGGAGCCCACCGCACCTCTCCTTGGAGGTCTTGCGTGTGGATGGATCCCCCGGGGCCACCACCAGGTAGCTTCCTACCCGCATCTCAGCTCTCCTGGCCGGGGGAAGGGCCCCCTCTCCCTGCCAGGGTACCTACCAGCCTCGTTTTGATTGGAGGGTGCATGCAAACTCCAGTGGTCTCTTCCTTCATGGGGAGAGAGAGTGGAGGAGAACAGCGAGAGTGGGCACAGTAGGGGGCGCTGGCGGGCTCTGCCTGCTCACGAGGAGTGGAGAGAAGGGGAGGAGGAGGAGGTGGTGAGACAGGGGGAGGAAGAGGAGATAAGGGAGGGAAAGGAGAGAGAGATAGCACAGTGCAAGACGGATCTGTCAACGCGGCCAGCCGGCCGGGCTGCTCTCAGGCCAGCCTCAACCCCAGCTGCTCCCAGATTCTGACCAAGGACTGGAGTCCCTCCCGCCCCCTCTGCTCTTGGCCTTGGCTCCTCTCCACAATCTGTGTCCATGATTAGACCCAAGGCCACGGGGAGGCGGGAGGGGAGCCCCACGCCAGGGGCTGGCAGGTGGGAGCCCCTCTCCTGCACAGGCCTGGTGTGCTGTGGAGGCTTGGGAAGCGTGGTCCAGGCCAAGCCAGAAGACAGCCAGATGAATGAATGAGGGCCACAGGGGGCAGTATGAGGAGCGCCGGCCTTTCATGCCCCCCGTCCACTGAACCAGGGCCTACAAGTTGCCACATGAACAGCGCTGCAGCAGCGACGACATCTAGAATGCAGGGTTAGGATTTATCCTGCCGTACTTTGTTGAAAACACACTGGCCCCGCCCCCTCCCCCCACCCCCACAGTCCTGGCCTTGGGGTCTTGCACTGGCGATGGGGTATTTGGCTGCCTGATCGGAAGAGACTCAGCCCTGGGTGACAATTAATTCCCCCATCTCAGCCCTCCACAGTGCCATGCACCAGGCAGGGGAGCAATGGCTGGTAGGTGTGAAGATGAGGATGATGAAGAATGTTCTGGTGTTAGCGATGGCGCCACTGACAGGGTTAGTCTGAGTTTCGGAGAGGGGGTGATTCACTGCGGACAATAAACACATGCTTCCTGGAGTTCCCGAGGGTCCCCTTCATGAGCTGGCATCATCCTGCCCTCATAAATAAAGCAGAGCCTCTGGGTTGTTTCACTGAAAACTCTTTTTTTTTCTTTCTTTTTTTTTTTTTGCTTCTTGGGTCACACCCAGTGGCGCTTAGGGATTACTCCTGGCTCAGGAATTATTCCTGCTGGTACTTGGAGAACCATATGGGATGCCGGGGATTGAACCCGGGTCAGCCACACATCAGGCAAATGCCCTACCCGCTGTGCTATTGCTCTGGTCCCTGAAAACTCTTCAAGAAAATTGCAGGCCTCCCTTCCCTCTCCAAACCGATGATGTCCTTGCTCTTCACTGCTGGGAAGCCTGGGACACTTTCCAAGGGGGTCTGACAACTATTATCTCATGACAGCTTTCCCAGTGACCTGCTGTTATGTTGCAATGCAGACACTGCATTTGCCAAGGCCAAGACCCAGGCTCTAGATACCCCCCAGCCCTCCCCCGAGGAGGCTTCTATTTCTAAATCCCTTCTTTAGGAACAGAGGAGTTCTAGTCAGTCAGCCACAGTCACATGTAACCATCTTTCTGCCCCAGCCCCCGACTCAATTCTCAGGATAAATCTTTTGCTGGGGGAGAGGGACCCCCACACCAGTGTGAAGTGAGTCTCTGTCTGCCATCAGGCTTTGTTCTTATCAGGACCCCTGGCCACAGGGCTTTTGTCTCTGGAGATCAGAGTAGGCATAAAATGTCCGTTTTGGATGTAAATAAAGTCTGGCAATACTTGGCCAAAAAATAAGAAAAGAAAAAAAAAACCCCAAAAAACCATGCATCTGCCTGGAAGTCATGTATGCTCGTCACCAAGGTTAACTGCCAAGTATAACGGAATAGAGCTGAGGCTCTGTTCACCACTGGGCTTTGATGGGAGAGAAACATCGACCCATACGTAGCATTCCTGAACTTTCCAAGTAAGCCTCTGAGTGAATTTAATAAAATAACATCCTCTTAGTAAATGAACAGCAGAAGACTTAACTCATAGTAAAAAAAAATGTTTTGAAATATCATTTTATTTTTATTTCTCTTGGTATTTCCTTTCCTCCTTCGGCATATTCAGACAGCTAGATTCTACTGACTTTAGCATTTCAGAAAGACGTGTGTGTGTGTGTGTGTGTGTGTGTGTGTGTGTGTGTGTGTACAGACACACGCTGGCTGAGAGAGATCATGATGGAAGCACATAAGCCTTTTGCCTCCAATGCCAGGTCAGGAGACTAAGGCGAGGGGAGGGAAAGCAGGGGAGAAGGGAGGCGGGTATCCCCTGGGGAGCCTGTGCAGAGGGGTCCTGCACTCCTCCTCCGGGACCCAGGGATTAAAGAAAGGAAAGGACTGTTGTCTTCTGGTAGGGCTGGGGACAGGGCGGGCCCCAGAGCAGAAGGGCTCGGGGGCGGCGGGGGGGGAAGGTGTGTATCCAGCAAACGGAGATTTTTCTGGATTTTTCCCGGGGTGGGGGACAGTGATTCCCAGCCTCTTGACAGGGACACCCCAGATGGTGGCAAATTAAAGAGCCCACCCGCTAGACAGACATCCCCCCAACCCATGTCCCTGTGCTCCAGAGAACACAAACGCCAGCCCTAAGATCGGCTCAGGCCCTAGGAGCCTTAGGTGATCCCAGTCCCTCTGTCTGTCCCTGCTCGGCTGTCCTCGGAGACATAGTCACGACACCCCTCAGTCACCCCAGCACGGAGGGCAAAGACTGTCCTGCTCTGGGGCTGGGGGCAGCTGAGGTGAGAGAGAGAAAAACAGACCAGGGAGAGCCAGCCGGGCTGCCTGAGCCATCTGGCTCCCCCGACACTTGATCCTCAGGGGCATGAAGGGGAAGGCCTGGGGCGCCAGGGAACGGTGCCCTCCTGCCCTCCTGCCTTGGCTGCACAGAAGCAAGAAGGGGGCTTCAGGGCCTGGAGCAATAGCACGGTGGGTAGGGCATTTGCCTTGCACGCAGCCAACCTGGGTTTGATTCCCAGCATCCCATGTGGTCCCCCAAGCATTGCCAGGAGGAATTCCAGAGTGCAGAGCCAGGAGGAACCCCTGTGCATCGCCAGGTATGACCCAAAAAGCAAAAAGAAGGGGGCTCCATCTCAAGAACAGGGGTTCATGGTGAACTCAGCTGTGATGTGTGCCGCTGAATTCAGACAGTGCCAGGACGTGAATGGGTCTTGTGCAGGGATAGGGCAGCAGCTATGTCACAGCCGGCCATCCTCCTCCCCAATAGATGCCAACTGTGGTGGTGAGTAGAAGCACCCGGCCGTGGAGGGGTGCAAGCAGGGACTGGACAATTCAGCGGCAGTATCTGCACCTCCCAACGGGGACTGGGGCTGAAGCCAGGCGCTGCTTCCTTCCCTGTTGATGTCTGTCGTGTTCAAAGAAGACACACGCACTGGATCCACAGTCCAGGGGGGGAGGGTGCTGCCTAGCATGCGGCTGACCCAGGTTGGACCCTGGCACCATGAGGGGGTCCCTGAAACACCACCCTAAGTGATCCCTGAGTGCAGGATAAGGCCTGAGCAGAGCTGGGTGTGGCCCCCAAAACAAACAGAAAAGACCCCTGGGTTGACCATTTTTTTTCTTTTTGGGTCACACCCAGTGGTGCTCTGGGGTTACTCTTGGCTCTGCACTCAGGAATTACTCCTGGCAGTGCTCGGGGGACCCATATGGGATGCTGGGGATTGAACCCCGGGTTGGCCGCATGCAAGGCAAATGCCCTACCCACTGTGCTATAGCCCCAGCCCCCGGTTGATGAAATTGACAAGCTGGACCCACGCAGAATTCGATGGCCTTAGAAGGGAACCCCATTACTCCTGGTCCAACTAACATGCATTTTTTTGCCTGTCTGTTTTTAATTAACCTCAGTTTCAGGCCCTCTGATTCCTTTAGAATTTCGCTCATGGCTGTTGCTTTTGCACAGAATGCTCTGGTCTACTTCCTTCACTTAGCACACACTCACTCCTACTTTTTTCATTTTTATTTTTTTTTTTTCGGGCCATCCTCAGTGGTTCTCAGGACTTACTCCCAGCTCTGTGGTCAGGTATCACTCCTGGTGAGGAGAGAACTTGGGTCAGCCATCTGTAAGGCAAGCACCCTACCCACTGTACTATCTCTCTGGCCCCTCCTACTCTTGAAACCCTAGCACCGGGACACCTTCACTTCCCCAGTGCTCAGTCGCTGCTTACGTGGTCTCTTGGGGCACTACTGTAGCACTGTCCTCCCGTTGTTCATCGATTTGCTCGAGCGGGCCCAGTAACGTCTCCATTGTGAGACTTGTTGTTACTGTGTTTGGCATATTGAATATGTCACGGGTAGCTTGCCAGGCTTTGCTGTGTGGGCGAGATACTCTCAAAAGCTCGCCGGGCTCTCCGAGAGGGGCGGAGGAATCGAACCCGGCTCAGCTGGGCCGGCAGCATGTAAGGCAAACACCCTACCGCTGTGCTGTGGCTCACTGCACCATTTTTGAACAGCCTGGGAATTGTTCTAGGGCTTCCCACAGAGAGACAGCACTGCCCACTCATATGCCTGTTGGCACCTGGTGCCCAGATCGTGGCTTCCTCCCTCTCTGCTTTCCTGCATGCTCAGGCTGTACCTGATAATGGATGTCTGCCAGTTGAAAACTCTCTGTTGGGTGCCCGTTAAGGATCCCAAAGGAGCATCAGGCCCAGCTCACCAATTCGCTGTCTCTTCCTCCATGCCCACTTGGGAAATCTCCCCGGTCTAGGGGGCTGGGGTGTCCTTCACACACCAGGCACTACTCAGTTCCAGAGGGGCGGGGTGCCTGCAGAAGCAGCAGCTTTGCCTGATCTCCTACAAAGAGCAGCTAAGAAGGGGTCCAGAGACCCCATCTTGCCCTTGCTCAGTGCCCATGTGGCTGCCGACTCAGGCACTCATATCTCCCCTCCATGGGAAGGCGACAAGGTGATGTGGAAAGATCCTGGGTTTCTAGATGACTCTCGGTGAGAGGCAGGAAAGGGCCCCTGCATCTGTAAGCCAGCCTGACGATGGGTCGAAGGGGAAGGCCGTGACGAGGACAAGGCTGGGGAAGGGTTCGAAGGGCTGAGTGCTGGCTTTGCATGCGGAAGCCCAGGTTGAACCCAGGCACGCCTAGAATCCCACACACTGCTGGAACAATCTCCAACCCCCAGCACTGAGCCAGAAATAGTCCTGGAGCAGCACTGGGTATGACCGACTACTCTCCCAAACCCAAAATCACTCGTGGCTTTTGTTTTGTTCTTACTTTTTGGGTAACACCCGGTGATGTTTAGGGGTTACTCCTGGCTCTGCACTCAAGAGTTACTCCTGGCGGTGGTTGGGGGACCATATGGGATGCTGGGGAACGAACATGGGTTGGCCGTGTGCAAGGCAAACACCCTACCCGCTGTACTGTCGCTCCAGCCCCTAACTCATGATGTTGATGTGAACTTGGGAAGGTCCACGGAGCAGAGTGTCACTCACTGCCAGCTCTTATCTGAGCTGTTCACGCTGTGCCTGATGGAGATATGGTCTCTGTGCCCGCAGATGCAGGAATGGGGCTGTGGCTACAGCCTGGACAGTCTTGGGCTCACTTGTCCCATCTCCAAAACCTACCCCTGTACCTTCCTCCAAACCACGGGTCCAAATGATGCTCACTCCCGAGCCTCACTGAGGTCTGGGGTGGGTCCCCTCGACTCCCCTCCATCCTCCTCTGTTCCTCTGTTCCTGGAACTCTGCCCAAGGCCAAGAAGCCGAGTACACAGGAAACTCCCGTGATGCGTTTTTGATTTGGGTCATATTTTGGCTCACTTGCCAGATGTGTGGGCCTTGATTTATGCTGAGGTACACCAGGGTATTATAGGCTGATTCAAACCCACAAAGCATCCAAGTTTGTGTCATCGAATAACATGAATAATTCCTTACTCATATGGATGCCTTAGAGTCGTTATACTTTGGGGTTTGCCGGCTCTGCTTTCTTCTCTTTTTCTCAGTCCCTCTTGCTGTTCCCTCTCTGTCTCTCTTCCCTGCCCTCCCCAATTAACTCCAAGGACAAACAATGTCATCGTACTTGACAGACGGTGGGGAAGGGGCCATCCGAAGTCTTCAGGAAGCAGAAGAGAGAAGGGCGGGCACCTGGCCTGGTCTAAATGCTGCCTGACCCCCCCTTAGTGCTCTGGCCTGAGAAACTTCTCACTGGTGGGGGAAGCGGGGGTCCTGCAAAGACCACCACCCCAAAGGGGAGGCCTATAGGCAAAGGATGGAGCACAGTAGGAACGCAGGAGGGGCCTGAGAGCAGGGCTGTGGGCTGGGGTCCGCGCTCCAGCCCCGAGGTCCCCCCCTGTATGAAGCTGCAGCAAGAGGTCCCCTATGGATGGGTAATGCGGGTGCAGCCCAGACACAAAGCAGCCAAGACTCAAACACCACAGAGCTGCCCCCCCCCAAAGCCAGCACCCAAAGAGCAGCAGCAGGAGGGGCAGAGGCCCTGCAGATCCCGTCGAAGAATGAGACCCCCAAGGTCTCCCTCCGGGCCCTGGGAAGGGTTGGGGTAGTGGGGAGGCCCCAGGACCTGGATTTTTTGGGGAAAGCAGGGCCCCCCCAGGCTATGAGCGGGGTGAGCGCAGAGGCCCATCTCGTCCAGGGGTCCCACTGCCGAGCAGTCTCTCGGGCCTGTGGGTTTCTGGAGTTAGAAAACGGGAAGTTTACCAGAGGGGTGGCTTCCGTGAAGTCCATCAGGAGATCGCCGGGCTCCAGAGTAAAGGCACCTCCTCGGGGGGGGCTCTGTGTAGGCAGACAGACACCACGGTTACAGAGGGGGCCCCGGAACACCCCCTCTCTTCCTCTCCCCTCTGCGAACCCCCAGGTTCCCCAATTTCCCCAGCCATCAGCATCCAAGTGTTCAGTGCCCTTCCCAACATGCTCTCCACTCTTTTTATTTTATTTTTTTTTTGCAAACCTTCCTGGATAGAAACAGGGTTTAAGAATGGGAGAAGCATGCTGAAAGTAGACTACAGACCAACCATGACTGCCACTCAGTTCCTCTTTTGCAAACCACAGCACCCCAAAGGAGAGAGAGAACAAAAGGGAATGCCCTGCCACAGAGGTAGGGTGGGACTGGGGGGATGGAGGTGGGAGGGATACTGGGATCAGTGGTGGTGGAGAATGGGCCCTGGTGGAGGGATGGGTACTCGATCATTGTATAACTGAAACTCAAGCACGAAAGTTTGTAAGTCTACAACTGTACCTCATGGTTTTTCACCAAAAAAAAAAAAAAAAAAAAAAAAGCAAAGCCCTTCATTGTCTTTAGTGCTCAGGGAGGGACTTTTAGGGCTGGGGGAGAGGGGAAGGCACTTCAGTATCTCTTGGGTAGATAAAGTGCAAACATTCCGTCTGGGATCCAGACAGCCCGGTCTCAAAGGTTGCTACAGTCATCAGCACAACAAAGATGCACTAGGAACCCAGGGGACCGTGCCAGGGACCAGGTTAGAGAGCATGTCTAGGCAGGCACTAAGCCTGGGTCTGAGCCCTGGCACCACATGGTCCCCAAGCATGGCCGGTGCAGCCCTAGGGGCCCCAGCCTGTGCTTTGTCGGGTGGTCCCAGTACTCCGAGCGGCCCAGCATCCTCGGGCTCTGGCCTGGAAACCTCGGCTGGTTTGCGAAACTCGTAAGTGGGATCCACGGCCTTCCGGAACACTGCTGGGGAGGCCCCTTGTCCCCCAAGAGGATAATTTCTGCTGGTGGAGGGTGGTGCCTCTGAAAGCCAGATTCTCTGTGGGGGTGTCATCGGCAGGCCTCAGCTCAGGGCTGACTCTTGGCTCGGGGGTCACTCCTGGCCTTGCTCAGGGAACCACACGTGGTGCCAGGGATGGAACTCAGGTCCAGTGCATGCAAGTGCCTGAGCCCCGCGCTACCCCTCCAGCCCCTGGAAATCAACTTCTTTGGGGGTAAAATAGTTTTCCTCTTGTCCTGGGGTCTCATTGCCCAGAGGTGTTGGGCGACCCACTGACACGGGCCTGAAGGAGAGAGTGGCCACAAGAGGGAGCCCTGAGGCCTCAGCAGGTGCCACCAGCTTCCTGGCAGCCACCTTAGCTCTATGGGGGTACGCAGGGCATGTGTGTGCGTGTGTGTGTGTGTGTGTGTGTGTGTGTGCGCGTGCGTGTACTCATGTGTGTACGTATGTATGTGTCGGTGTGCATGTGTATGTTTGCATGAGCGTCTATGTAAGTGTATGTGGATATATGTGTGCATGTGTCGATAAATGTGAGTCTATGAGTGCATGTTTATATGTGCATGTGTTTGTAAGAGTGTCTATGTAAGTGTATGTGTGCATGTGCAAATGAATGTTTGTATGAGAGTGTCTGTGTGAGTACATGTATAGTTATATGTGCATGTGTATGAGTGTCTGTGGATATGTGTCTATGTGTATGTGTGTGAGGGTGTATGTGCATGAGTGTATATGCATGTTTATATGTGTATATGCATGTTTATGTGTCTGTGGATCTGTGAGAGTGTATGTGTGTATGTGCTTATGTATGTTTGTATAAGTGTCTGTGGATATGTGTGAGTATATGTGAGCATACGTATGAGAGTGTGTGTGTGTGTGTGTGTGTGTGTGTGTGTGTGTGTGGTATTTCAGTCTGACTGTCCCCATGGCATGGGAGATACATTGTGCGACACACAGCACAGCCCTAGGCGGGGCCCTGACGCCAGCACGGGAGCTGCTCCCAGGAAAGCTGGTGCCTTGGCCGAGAGCAGCCCTGCTGAGGGTGAAGCCAGGCTCCCCCGAGGGCTTTCCAGAGCCACCTGGGAGAAACGGAGGATGGGGGTGGGGGGCGGGGGGAGGGGTGAGCTGGTCTGGACGCTGCAGCCTAAGTGCTACCAGATCAGAGGCAGAGCAGTCACCTCGGACCCCAGTTGACGCAGGTTTCGGCTCCCCGGAAGCCCACTGCCAGGAACTGGGCAAGAGAGCCAGAGAGCGTTCCCATTTTATCTGATTCTTGAAGCAGGCTGTCTGGGCTACACCTGGCCGTGCCCGGGCGCTACTCCTGATTCCGTGCCCTGCTGGGGGTCGAGCCGGGTCAGAGCAGGCCTTACCACCCTGTCCTCTATTTCCAGCCCCATTTCCATCTTTTTTTTTTTTGAAGGAAACTGAGGCTCATGAAAAACAGGGCTCTGGGGTGACGGCAGCTTCTAGCAGCCACCAGGAGGGTACAAGGTGCCAGAGGAAACCGGGGGGAACCTCGGGGTTCCTGCCTTCAGACCCCCGGGCCACCCCATCATCTCCTCCGAGCATGTGGACCTGCAGCGGAAGGGCGCCTGAAGGGAGGCGAGCAAACACGGCTGGAGGGAAGGACAAGGGCAAGGGCACTTGCTCTGTATGTCACCAGCCCTGGTTCAGTCCTGGCACCTGCTTAAGGTCCCCGCAGCACTGCCGGAGTGACCCCCGAGCAGTCGGCAGCAAGCCTTGAGCTCTCCTGTGCGTGGGCCAAAATCCAGAGGAGGGAGGGAGTGAGGGAGGGAGGGAGGAAGGGAGGGAAGGAAGAAGGAAGGGAGGGAGGGAGGGAGGGAGGGAGGGAGGAGGGAAGGAGTGAAGGAAGGAGGGAGGGAGGGAAGGAGGGAAGAGAGGGAGGGAGGAAGGGAGGAAGGGAAGGAGGGAGGAAGGGAGGGAAGGAAGAAGGAAGGGAGGGAGGGAGGGAGGGAGGGAGGGAGGAGGGAAGGAGTGAAGGAAGGAGGGAGGGAGGGAAGGAGGGAAGAGAGGGAGGGAGGGAGGGAGGAGGGAAGGAGTGAAGGAAGGAGGGAGGGAGGAAGGAAGGGAAGGAGGGAAGAGAGGGAGGGAAGGAAGAAGGGAGGGAGGGGGAGAGAGGGAGGGAGGGAAGGAGGGAGGAGGGAGGAGGGAAGGAGTGAAGGAAGGAGGGAAGGAAGGAAGGAAGGAAGGAAGGGAGAAAGAAAGAGGGAGGGAGAGAGGGGAGGAAGGGAGGGAGGGAGGGAGGGAGGGAGGGAGGGAGGAAGGAAGGAAGGAAGGGAGGAAGGAAGGAAGGAGGGAAGGAAGGGGAGGAGGGAGGGAAGGAGGGAGGGAGGGAGGGAAGGAAGGAAGGAAGGAAGGAAGGAAGGGAGAAAGAAAGAGGGAGGGAGAGAGGGGAGGAAGGGAGGGAGGGAGGGAGGAAGGAAGGAAGGAAGGAAGGAAGGAAGGAAGGAAGGAAGGAGGGAAGGAAGGGGAGGAGGGAGGGAGGGAGGGAGGGAGGGAGGGAGGGAGGGGGGAGGGAAGGTAGGCAGGCAGGCAGAAAGGCAGGCAAGCAAATGTCCTGCATTTGCCTCTGTCATTGTTCCTGCTCGACTCTGGCAATTTCAAGTGAACGGTGTATTTCTAATTTTCAAACTTAATACGGACTATTCATTATAATGAGCAGGATGGGGAACTATTAAGATTTTATGAGTCCAAATCTTCCACTGGGGGGGGCTAGGGTCACACCCACTGGTGCTCAGGAAACTGTACGTGGGATTGCAAAGGGTCAAGCGTCTTAATCTCTGTCCTATCTCTTGGCCCCATCGCTTTGTCTTGACAGGGGAGCGCTAAGTTGTTTAGGAATGCTGTCCGAAAATCAAAATTGTCCTCCCAACCCTCTGCCTCTCTGTCTCTCTCTTCAGGTTTCGGGCCACATCTGGCAGTGCCTGGGGGACCATGCAGTGCCTGGCATCAAACTCAAGCCTCCTGTGCATATATAACGTACTGCTCCAGTCCTTGGAATCATCTCTCCAACCCCCCTCAATTTCTTAAAATTTTTCTAAAGCACAGGACCCATGGTATTTTTTTTTCATAGTCTGTGTCCCGTAAATATTCATCTTTCAGGGACAGATTGTGATAGCACAGCGGTAGGGCGTTTGCCTTGCGTGCAGCTGGCCCGGCTGAGCCGGGTTTGATTCCTCCGCCCCTCTCGGAGAGCCCGGCAAGCTATCGAGAGTATCTCACCCTCGTGGCAAAGCCTGGCAAGCTACCTGTGATGTATTCAATATGCCAAACACAGTACAACAAGTCTCAAGATGGAGACGTTACTGGGCCCGCTCGAGCAAATCAATGAACAACGGGAGAACCGTGACCATGACCAGGGACAGATTATATAGCAACACCAACACCGAAAACAACAACGGCAGGAAGCATGCACTGGAAGCTGTGACTGCTTGACAAGTGCACAGAGTTGGTCCTGTGTGACATGAAATGCAGATGCCACGGCCTGAGTCTAACGGAGCCTCCAGGAGAGCGCTTTCTCCTCCAGGCTTTATCCCATACCTTGACCCCTGGGGACAGCTGGCTCTTGCCTTCTGAGTTCTGAGGCGAGCTGAGCGGGTGGCTCTGGGGGGAGGCCAGCGGAGCTGAGACTGGGCTGGTGGCAGCAGCGGCGGTGGTGACAGGCGTGGTGGTGGCTGGTACGCCGACGGCCTCAGCCAGGTCTGGAGGGAGGTCATCTTCATCACTGCGGTTGCTAAAAGCACATGAAGCTCTGCTCATTACAACAAGAAACAGCCGGTGGAGAGTGCAGGGAGGGTGGGGGAAGGGAGAGCCAGAGTGGGGATTTGGGACCCCCCAAAACAGAGGTCTACCAGATGTCTTGCTTATTGATGTTTTTTCAAGGTGAAACTGGGGTTACATTTTCTGTCATTTGCCATGGTGTTAAAAATCTTTTTTCTATATACTTTTATATATATACTTATACATACTTTTTAAGAAGAGTATGTTCTAAAATATTTATATATTTTAGTATACACATAATAGTTATCATATCATCCATTTGTACACGAATGCTTCCATGGCATTCAATATGTTTTATCATGCTGTGTACACACTGCCACTATTTATGACTAAATTTTAAAATAATTTCATTTGGTGCTCTCTTCTCTATCTGAGCTTCCTTTTCACCTAGAGCCTGTGGCTGGCCTTCCATTCATGGAGCAAAATTCCTGGTACTAATCTCAGCCATTCCTGGGTGTTACTCTCCCTTTTTGTTGCTTTATGTTCCCCAGATGAATACAATCTTTCTGTGTCTATCCCGCTCTTTCTGACTCATTTCGCTTAACATGATACTTTCCATGTAGTACCACTTGTATGTAAATTTCATAACTTCATCTTTTCTAACAGCTACATAGTACTCCATTGTGTAAATGTACCAAATAAAGGGTGTTGTGAGGACCCTCCCAGGGTGGGAGAATCACGCTGAAAGTAGTCTATAGACCAAACATGATTGCCACTCAATGCCTCTCTTGCAAAACACAGTACCCAAAAGAAGAGAGAGAGAACAAGGGGGAATACCCTGCCACAGAGGCAGGATGGGACGGGGGGGGGGATGAGGGGGGGGTGCTGGGACCCGTGGGGATGGATGAAGGGCACTGGTGGAGGGATGGGCACTTGATCATTGTATAACTGAAACCCAAGCACAAAATTTGTGGGCCTATAACTGTGCCTCATGGTTTTTCACTAATAAAAAAAGAAAAAAATAAAATAAAATAATTTCATTGGTCCTTACTCATTGACCACCTCTCTATCACTCTCTCTCCCCTCTTGGCAACATCTCTTCATTCTTTTGGAATGAATTTGACTATTTCCACATTTTTATCTTCATCTCAGTTCTTGACTCTCCCCAGATGGGTAGACACAGCTTTCTGACTACGTGAATCCACATAACTTCAAGTTCAATAACTGGTGCTCCATTACCAAGCTACAACACATCCAATCTTCCTTATTAAATTTGTTTTTTCCCAGTGATATCTAAGGCCAAAAACTTGAACGACCTTTTGACTCATTTTTTCCCCTCTCACCTTCACATAAACACTGCCCACAGTATCTAAATTTTCAATGTATTTTTAATTGAGGTAACACCAGTTTACAGACTGAGTTTACACACTTTGGGGATATAATGTCCAATCATCCAATATATGTACTGCTGTGCCTGCCTTAATTTACTTACCATATCTTTTACTTCATATGGCATCTCTACTAGTTACAGAGATCAGAATAGAAACAAGGTTTTACTCTAAGTAAAAACTGATTATAAATACGATGCATAAATCTGTTTAATCCCGTTATTAATGATTGGTTGGATCTGGGGACAAACTGGCAGACTACCGAATGTAACCTGCCCACACGGCAGAGTCTGGCAAACTCCCCGTGGCATACCCAATATGCCAAATACCAGTAACAATGATGGGTCTCATTCTCCTAACCCTGAGAGAGCCTTGAATATGGCACTTTTTAAAAAAATCTCAGGGCTAGGATGAAGGAGACGTTACTGGGGCCTGCTCGAGGCAATCAACGAACAACAGGATGGTCGCGATCGTGATCGTGAATGTTTTCAAGCCCATCCACATTGTCCTTTGTGCCAAAATTTCATTTATTCTCCTGGTTGAATAATATTCCATCATATGGAAGACAATATTTTATCCATTTATCAGTTGCTGGCACTTGGGGTGTTTGCCATCTTTGCCTTAGGGGAACAATGCTGCCTTAAACATGATTGGGCAGAAAGCATTTATGTGCCCACTTTCAATTATTTTGGATGGGAATTCCACCTACAAGTGGAACTGTCAGTCTGTACGCTAGTCTTCTATTTAACTTTTTGAGGAATCGCCGAACCAAGGTTATGATTTGAGCTGAGATCCCTTAAGAGGTCAACAGAAGGCTCAGGAATCCCACTGCAGGGTGTGAAGGATGTGATGGGAATCTGGACCTATTTTTGTTCCTTTGGGGTTTGAAATCAACAGTTCTTCTTGGACTCCAGGGGAAAAAGTGGGCTCATTTGCTGGGGCCAGGGAGCTCTGATGGAATGGGATAATCTAGACAGAAAGGGACAGGAGGTGGGGGAATCACCACCAGGGAGGAATAGGGGTGGGTCTCCTCTGCTTGTGTCCAGGCCCCTCAGATTTGTGGGGAGGGAATGTCGAGGCTGGAATCCCTTCTGCTCTGATCTTTCTGGCACTGCACCATCAATCCCCCATGCTCAGTACAAACAGTATTTTCTCAAGCATAGAGAAACTAAGAGAAGTTTCTTCTCCCTTAATACCAACCACCTCGCTGCCTGGCCATGAAGGGCAAAGGTAGGATCAATCCCCATCTGTGGGGCGCTCAAACCCTGTTCACTTCAAGGAAACTTGCTCCCGAGGGAACCTGCGGGTCCTTGAAATATCCTGCCTAAAAAGTCCCTGTAGGTCTGAGACCTTGGGCCACGCCAGATAGTCTATAGCACCAATGTGATTGAAGGTAAATGTCAAGGGGTTTGGGTCACACTGTCCTGGTCTGTCCTCCAAGAGGCTGGACACTGAGAAACTATTGGCAGCCATAGGGATGGCCCAGGCCAGTATGATGGACCCCCAATACATCCCTAAATTCCCAGGCTCAGGCGAGAGTTCCCCTGGTTGGCAATATTCTGTACATGTTAACAACCAGTGCCTGAAAACAAAGAAGTGGTTGGCAGCTTGTGCTGGAAGTTTGCTTTTTCCGGAGTGAGGGTGGGAAAGGGACCATACTTGGTAGTACTTGGAGGACCCTGTGGTACTGGGGATTGAAACTTGGGCCCCTGCATGCAAAGCAGGTACTTCCGCTCTTGGAGTCACCTCCCCAACCCCCCCATGCCTGGAATTTCCTGGGCTTCACCCTGTGTGCCTTTTCCCTTTGCTGTAGCCTCTTACTAGACTACACCATGAGCAGGACAATCATAGCCTGGATCATAGCCTAGAAGTGAGTCCTTCTAGGGAATCGGCAACCTTGAGGGTGGTACTGGGGAACTCTCACACACAATCCCCTCCCCCCACACCTTCCATGGAGAATTTCTGGAACCACATGGGCACAAGGGTTGTTTCAGAAATTAGGACCAAGTCAAAGCGTGATGAAAGAGCCATGATTGATGCTAAGCGAAATGAGTCAGAAAGAGAGGGATAGACATAAAAAGACTGCATTCATCTGGGGGACATAAAGTAACAAAATAGGAGATTAATACCCAAGAATGGAGCGATAGCACAGTGGTAGGACGTTTGCCTTGCATGCAGCCAACATGGCCGACCCGAGTTCGATTCCTCCGCCCCTCTTGGAGAGCCCGGCAAGCTACCGAGAGTATCTCACCCGCACGGCAGAGCCTGGCAAGCTCCCCGTGATGTATTCGATATGCCAGACACAGTAACAACAAAGTCTCCAATGGAGATATTACTGGGCCCGCTCGAGCAAATCGATGATCAACGGGAGGCCCTTTTTACTTTATCCTAGATCAGTACCAGGAGGATTACTCCATGGCTTAGAGGCCAGCTGGGCACTCTAGGGGAAAGGGCAGCTCAGATAGAGAAGGGAGCACCAAATAAAGGTGTTTGGAGGATCCTCCCAGAATGGGAGATGCATGTTGAAAGTAGACTATGGACTGAACATGATTGCCACTCAATGCCTCTTTTGCAGACCACAACACCCAAAAGGAGAGAGAAAACAAAAGGGAATACCCTGCCACAGAGGCAGGGTGGGATGGGGCGGGGGGGGGGGGGAATGGGTGTGGGAGGGATACTGGGATCCATTGTGGTGGAAAATGGGCACTAGTAGAAGGATGGGTGTTTGATCATTGTATAATCAAAACCCAAGCACAAGAATTTGTAAATCTACAACTGTACCTCATGGTGTTTCACTAATAAAAATTAATAAAAAGAAAAAAAAAAGAAAGATCCATGATTGGTGGGAACCAGTGTGGCCCCTTGCAGAGTCCCTTATGATGACCTCTCCATGGCTGTGGCCTTCAGGGAAATTTGTAGCCATGAAGCCAGGGAGAAGGGTCCCCAGGGGATTTTTTAGATGACTCTTTGAAAGAGTCTCAAAAGGAAGATTTTGAATTTAGGAATAATAAGGGTTTGAGTGAAGTTTGGCTACGTTAAGTGGAAACATTAATAAGACACCACGAACTTGGACCTATACTAATATGTAAATCAGATTGACTTCATATGCAATTTTCTCAACATAAGTTGGAACATAAGCTCCACTTTCAGAGAAGAAAATAATATTCAGTAGCTGACTGTTAAGTTAGTTAGATCACATGGCTAATTAAGTGGAAGAGTAAGGTTAAAGTACTTTTGGTCTCATTAATAAAAATTATAGCCTTCAGAGGGTTCTTTTGGAGAGTGGAGAGATAGGACAAGGGTTAGGGCTCCTGCCTTGCACCATGGTTTGGTCCCACACACCACTAGGAATGATTCCTGAGCACCCTTGGGTGTGGCCTAACTCCACCTGCCCTCAAAAGAGGGGTCATTTTAGGGGGATGGGATGGTACTGGAATTTTAGAGGTAGGTATGGAAAATCCTATCCAACTTAGAAAGATGTTAAACTATACTTCTGGAATTCTGGGGTCTGTTTGTTTGGGGGCTACCCCCAGCAGTGCTCAGGATTTACTCCTGGTTCTGCACTCAGAGGTCACTCTTGGCTGGCTCGGGGAACCATCTGGGTGCCGGTGTCTATGGGGTGCCAGGAACTGACCCAGGTCAGCAGCATGCAAGGTTGTTCTACCTGCTATACTATCTCTCCAACCCCTGAAATTCTGTATTATTATAAATTAATGAAAATCAACAAAAAAGGGAAAAAAATTCACAACCTTAAAAAGAATATTCATGGGGCCTGGAGCAATAGCACTGTGGGTAGGGCATTTGCCTTGCATGCGGCCGACCCGGGTTCGATTCCCAGCATCCCATATGGTCCTCTGAGCACCGCCAGGGGTAATTCCTGAGTGCAGAGCTAGGAATAACCCCTGAGCATCGCTGGGTGTGACCCAAAAAGAAAAAAAAAGAATATTCATTTTTTTCATTTTACATAAAACATCGTTTTAGAAACATAGCTCACTTTAACGCTGGGAGTAAACTGATGTTGCCTAAAACTGAAAGACTCCAAATTTTTCTTTTTGTTTGCCTTTTTTTCTTGGGGGAGGAGCTGAGTGGGATGACACCCAGTGGTGCTAGAGGCTACTCCTGGCTCAGTACTGGGGGGCTGCTTCTAGTGGCACACTGGGGACCATAAGTGCCAGGGATTGACCCTGAGCATGCAAAGCATGTGTTCCACCCACTGAGTTACCAGCTTCGAGGTTCAAAAATCTTCTTTTTTCCCCACCTCTGGTTTTTGGGCCACACCCAGCAGTACTCAGGCTTGCTCCTGGCTCTGTCCTCAGAGATCACTCTTGGCTGGGCTCAGGGGACCATATGTGGTGCCAGGGATTGAACCTGGGTCAGTTTTATGCAATGCAATTGCCCTACATGTGTTCGCTCTCTCTGGCCGCTATATTTGAGGCATCAGGGATTAAGGTCACAAACTCACACTTATCCAAGGTGAGTTTGATAAGCCACAGATTGGGGCTGTTTCCTGGGGCTCCCTGACGGCAGAGATCTTAGGATCATCTCTGATGTGCAGGTGGCACTGGGGGGTTTGAATTCATGACCCCACACACTTGCCACGCAAGCCCTTTAAGTCACTGAGCCATCTTCTGGACCTGAGGTGATTTCATTTTTAACAATATAGATGCAGGGCCAGAGTGCTACTATGGTGGTTTGGGTGCTTATCTTTCATGTGGCCTGTTCCATGCCCCACATCCCATATGGTGCCCTGTGCATGGTAAGGACTAATTCCTGAGTGCAGAGCCAGGAGTTACGCCCTGAGCACCTTGGGTGTGGCCCCCCAAAAAAGAAAATATCTAATATGGATCCACAGAGAAATGTCTAGTATTAGCAGATGGGAACGTGGGTTTTATTTTTAGTGGTGTGATTCAAAGGAGTTAGTTTCCCTTTAGGCTTTTCTGTCTTGTTAGTATCTTTTTAGGCCTTTGCCCCATGTTTAAATATGTGTATTTTGGGGGGGGGAATGAAGCCGTTGGCCATTTCCTAAACATATCTTCTGGCCTCCATGTGAACTAATAGCACATTCGCCAGCCGTTTCCCTCTGTCTGCTCTGCACACAGCTGCCACCGTCTTCCCGTGTCCTAGTTCCAGAAAAGACCATAGTGGAGGTTTCTGTTTCTATCTTTAAGAGAAGCCATTTGAAAGCTTGTTCAGAGCACTTAAACCTCAAAATCCTCCTGGTGGAGTACCCTACAACCCTAATTCACATCATTCCACCGAGGCACTAGAAACACTCTCACAGCCCAGAGAAAGGGATGTGTGTGTGCACAAGCATTGCTGCATCTCAAAAAGAAACATGCGAAGTATTTTTTTTTTCCTTTTAGGAGATAGGAAATTTGAGTTGACCTTCATCATATTATTCTGTGACTACAGGTTTATTGACTTTGACAATTTTGGAGAATGAAAAGATAAACAATGGTTCAGGAAGTCTTCAGGGAACCCATAAAAACTAGGAAAAGCCATTGGGCTGGGATATGGTATAAGGGTGAGGGTGCAAGCAGGACATGTGTCTGACCCAGGTTTGATCCTTGGTACCACATGGTCCCCCAATCAGCACCAGACCCAGTCCTAGAGGCCCCTGAGTACCACCAGGATGGTGGCATAATCCCTGCATGGCAGGACCCAAGTCACATGGCATCTCAGGCCCTTGCATTGAACTGCCAGCTTAGCTGGTTTAGAATTGCTGGTGCGAGCCTCCGGTCTCTTGAGTACCACCGGGGAGGCCCCATCCCTCTCACCCTTAGCGACACCAAGAAGCACTAGGAAAATCCCTTTCATTACGTTTGCTGTTGATAGAGTGTGAGGACCGGGATGACATTCTTTGATTTTAAAGCAGAATACTCCGGGACAGCTGAAGAAAACAAGACCTGTAAAATGAGAACTTAGAAAGCATTTCCTTCATAAAGGTGTTTTGGTGAGTTGATCAAATTTTCTTTCCTCCCAAGTCATGGGTTAGCCAATATTTCCAAGATTATTATATAGCCCAAATGGGGGACAATGATATTTAGTGTTTCAAAATTCATTTATTTATTGGTTTCTGGGCCATACCCAGAGATGCTCAGGGTTACTCCTGGCAGTGCTTGGAGGACCATATGGGATGCTGAGGATCAAAGCCGGGTCAGTTGCATGCAAGGCAAGTGCCTTACCCACTATATTATCGCTCTGGCCTGAGTGTTAGGATTTAAAAGGAAAGATTGGTCCTTTGAGTTTTATCTTCACGGGACCAGATTTTTCATGGTTCATTTTGTCTCCTTGAGATCATTAACCTGATCAATTACTGGAGTCATACCGTGGCCTTTCTAGGCAACTAGGATGTTACAATTTCCAGAGGTTTCTATAAGGCTAATGAGGTGGGCCATTTCGGTCCCGAAAACAGAACCTGTCCTCCTATCAAAATGCAAGTGCCAGGCCTGAGATGCTCGTTTGAGAATCACATCCAGGGTGATGTCCCCCGTCTTACATGTCTCACTCTGGCAAGCCATAAATACGACCTTTTCTTGGAAGCGCTGAGGGCGCTGAGAAGAAAGGAAGAGAGACAACTCATCCTAGGGTCAGGACTCTTGTAGCTCCACCCACATCACCTCATGAAACTCCCGAGGTGAGCAGGTACCTATTTAACAGGTGACGAAAGAGAAGATCAAAGAAGCATTGAGCCTGGAGTTCACAGTTTACAGATTAGCCAGAGCTCCAACCAGGCCTCTTTCTATGGATGCATGGATCCCTTTGTGTCTCTCTGACAACTCACACACTGGACATCCCCCTGAGCCACCACCGACACCCCCATGTGGGAGCTGCCATTGTGAACAAGTGCCATCGTGAACACTGTGCCATGTCTGAAGTCAGGCTAACACTTGGATGTGGCTTAATTAACACAGATTGCAGTGATGGCGTCAACGTGTTAAAAATCCTATTCTGACGACTGTGTCACCCTTCCAACAGGGTTTACTTGCCTCCTTTGGCCTATAATTATGAGTGACCTTGTCTTCCCCGCTAATAAACTGTACATCCTCAGACGGGAATGTCCCAGCGTTTTGTTTGGCGTGGTGTTTACAACAGCCCTGGGCCCCTGGTAGCCTCCAGGGAACGTCTGTCTGTCTGGCTGAACAGCACTGGTGATTCTGAGACACTTTAGGATATGCTCAGTGATTTGTTCTGGCTCTGATGACAGATCAGGTTACCGTTCACTAAGGCAATTTCTGATGTGGCTCCCCATGGTCCCTCCCTCCCTGTCATTAAGTGATTCCCTCCCCTTCAGTGTTGCCTGGCCCTGGTGATTTGCTTTTATAGAACTGAGAAGGGTGAAGCACCCAGATGTCATTTCTGTGATTAGATTACAAAGGACCATGGCTTTTGCCTTGTTCATGTTCTCTGGCTCTTCGTGCGTGCGTCCACTGATAAAGAGAGCTGGAGAGAGGCCCAGGGGCCTGGAAATGAAGGAAAATCTTCAGCCAACTTCTAGCCAGGAACTGAGGCAGTCAGTTCTGCAACCCTGGAGGAAGTGGATGCTGATAAGAACCGCATGAAGGAAGCATCAGATGGGACCACAGCCCTGAGTAACATCTTGAATATAGCCCGTGTGAGTTTCTGACACGTGAAACCAGCTAGGCCCAGCCTGGATTCCCCCAGACGCTGAGGTAACAAACGTACACCTTCCCAAATCACTAAGATTTGTAGTCTGTTCAAAGCACTCAACAAAATACCAATGACTACCATAACATGCTTTTCTAGTACAGTTAGGATTTCGACTGGAAACCAACTGCTAACTGGGAAATGACTCTTTGGGAGGGACGAAGAAGCAGTAAGTAACAAATACTTCAAACCATTTTTGTTGTCATCATGAAAACACGTGTAATACAGAACTCACAAACTGTACTGTCTTGTCAACTTCCTCACTCGGGGAGGCTTGATTTCCGGCTTGTCCACTGCTGGCTGGGCAGTTTCCACGTGGATAGCAATGGGACTTCTAGAGACATAGCAAAAACACAGCACAACACACACATATACAGAGATTAAGGTCTTATTTTTGGCAAAAAGGATTTCTTTCTCTGTCAGTTTATACCTCCGTATCACTGATAGTCATGTAATGTGTTTTTTTCTGCTCTCCACTCTACTAAATATAATTTTCAAATATATCATAGAAAATCTTAAGGAATAAAAAGTATACGAAAGAAAATATAGCAGAGTAATTAAATATATTGAGTTTCATACATTTTTTGGGCCAAAACTATAATAGGTTTTGCTAGTGAGGAAAAACCTCTGGAAAACTTATTCTAGTCATCTGGTAGCTATAGTAACATAGCACAGAATATATATATTTCTTTTGAAAAAAAATCGAATCACGGAAAAGATGGCGGCCGCACGGGAGCCTTGTGGACAGCAGGCTTGAGCCGGGGGTCGGGGGTGACAGGGACCTCATGGGAAGGGGGGCGTTCTGGGCCGTCCTTCACGCCCGACCGAGGTCGCCAGCTGCCCCCCACGAGCGGCTCTCAGGCACGGCCACGACTCCAGAGCACAGAAACCAATCTCTTAACTATCTAACTTTTAATAGAAATTCTTCCAGGGTTAATAAGTAAAATAGCAGAAATCCAAAACCACGCGGCCGCGATAGCCGGACATCATTTTATTCTTAAACCAAGTTGTAGAAAGCAAATCATTTCACAATGCTGTTTCAGCATGTCTGATTGGGGGGGGAGAGGGTCGTAAACTCTAAACAATAATTGTGCATCTTCTATCGAAACAATGTATCTAGTCAAAGTAGATAGAGTATTAACTAGAACTCATCTGCCTCACAGGAATTGGGAGGGGTGGGAGGTGGGGTTCTATTGGGGTTCGCGGTTAAAGATGAGTGTTGGTAAAGGGAAATGTGTTTGATATTTACATGACTGAGACCTAAACCCGAAAGCTCTGTAACTTTTCCCACAGTGATTCAATAAAGAAATAAATTAAAAAAAAATCGAATCACGAATCACGACCATCCTGTTATTCATCGATTGTCTCGAGCAGGCCCCAGTAACGTCTCCTTCATCCTAGCCCTGAGATTTTTCAGAAAGTGCTACATTCAAGGCTCTTTAGGAGAACGAGACCCATCATTGTTACTGGTATTTGGCATATTGGGTATGCCACGGGGAGTTTGCCAGACTCTGCCATGTGGGCAGGTTATATTTGGTAGCCTGCCAGTTTGTCCAAAGTAGGAATGAGATAATAAAGGCCCTCCCGTTGATCGTCGATTTGCTCGAGCAGGCCCAGTAACGTCTCCATTGGAGACTTTGTTGTTACTGTGTCTGACATATCGAATACTCTCAGTAGCTTGCCGGGCTCTCCGAGAGGGGCGGAGGAATCGAACTCGGGTCGGCCATGTTGGCCGCTTGTAAGGCGAACGCCCTACCTGCTGTGCTATCGCTCCAGGAATGAGATAATAAGATGTCATAATAAGATGTCGCACGGCCACGAAAAAATATCATATTTAAATGAAATATGTAGCATCAGAAGACCCTGAAAGCTTGCTCTGAAATATTTAAATTATTTATAAACAAATAATGAAAAAAAATTAAGTTCCTGATCATACTTTCTCAAGAAAATATACCAGAAAATTAGTGAGTTCTAGTTAAAACAGTGGGCTTTTTTGTGCTTCTCATTTGTTAATTTGTTTTTGGTTACAAAGATTGAATCCAGGACCTCTTATATGTGAACTATTTGCTCTACCATTAAGCTATATCCTTGTCCACAACAATGATTTTATTTTTATTTTTTTGTATTTCAGAATACACCTGGCAGTACTCATGGCTTACTTCTGGCTCTGTGTTCAGGGGTCACTCCTGATGGCTTGAGGGACCATATGGAGTGCTAAGGGTTGAACTGGTCAGCCATGTGCAAGGCAAGACCCTACCCCTGTACTATCACTCTGGCCCCTCACAACAGTGATTGCAGAGAAAAGTTTTCATGAATTTTGGTAGGAACCACTACTAATTTCATTTTTTTAAAAAAATCACATATTTGGGACTGGGCAGAGAGCTCCATGGAAAAGCACCTGCCTTGCATGTGTGAGGCCCTGGCTTTGGTCTCTGGCACCACACACACAAAAGAAAAATCAGAAGTTAGTTGTAGGACCAACGGACATCATAACTGATAGAGGTGGGGCCAGAGCTATAGTACAGTGGATAGGGTATTTGCCTTACATGCAGCCAATCTGGGCTCAATCCCCAGCATTCTCTATGGTCCCCGCAGCCTGACAGGAGTGATTTCTGAGCACTGTTGGGTGCGAACCAAAACCAAAACATAACACAACAAAGCAAGTAACTGGCAGAAGACCTGAGCAAGGAACTTGGGGTAAATGAATGAACACTTCCAGTCCTCCATTTTCTTCTTCTAGTTATTTATTTATTTATTTACTTGGGCTGGAGCATCGGATAGCACAGCGGGTAGGGTTTTTGACTTGCACGCGGCAGACCCGGGTTCGATTCCTCCGTCCCTCTTGGAGAGCCTGGCAATCTACCAAGAGTATCCCGCCCGCACAGCAGAGCCTGGCAAGCTCCTCGTGGCATATTCGGTATGCCAAAAACAGTAACAACAAGTTTTACAATGGAGACGTTACTGGTTCCCGCTCGAGCAAATCAATGAACAATAAAAGGACAATGCTACAGTACTATTTATTTATTTTTGGTTTGGGGCCAAACCAAAAACATCTGGGTATGTTCAGGGATCATGCCCTACCATCTGTACTATCATTCCGGCCCCCATTTTCTCTTTGACACATAGCCTCACAAGGCCAGAGGTATGTGGCCAAAGCCTACTAAATGTTTAGCGAATAAACTCGTGAAGGAACAAATAAGGAATGGCAATTCAACATCCTCTGGTTCCTGATTTCCTCAGGCTGGGAGGCCCATAGTCAACTGAACGGATGAAGGAAGAACTCTTAATTCTGCAGGAAAGTGTACAAAGCTGAGTGAACTGGCTGGTCTCTGAAAGTCCTCAGGGAGGAGTTTACATATAACTGGAGGGAAGATTTTCATAATGGAGGGAAGATTTTCAAGGGGGCACAGCAGGCTGAAGGTGCAGAGCCAGGGAAGGGCAGGGGGACTGCCCCTAGGGCAAGCAGGAGCCAGGAGCGACTTGGTCTCAGTGTACTCTGAAGGCAATGGCAGTCACTAAAGGTTTTAGGCAGGAGGCATCTAAGCCAGACTTGCACTTTGAAAGATCCTGAGAGCGATGGAGAGGGGCTGGCTTAGGGCAAAGGCTTCGTCTCAGTAGGAACTGTCATCAGTCACGTGGAGAGAGACGGTGAGGGTCCCAGCTAAGCCAGGAGCAGAGTCTCATCGAGGAAGACAGTGGGAGATAACAAGAAAGCTAAACCGGTAGGACTTGGTGACCTGTTAGATGGAGGAGGAGGGTGGGAGCAGGCCAAGGACTTCCGGGTCAGCTCTGAACCCTGGGGAGGTAACCATACATTACCTAAGGACTGGAAAGCGGGTGTGGGTGGCATGGGGTGGGAAGGATGAATTAAGGTTTTATAAAGCCTAGGAGGCAGGTGTGTCTATGTCTCTGGGGAAGGACTAATTAACACCAAGGACATGAATTAGGAGTTATAAGGTGACAAAAGAAATGTTGGCTTTATTTTTAGCATCCAGTATAAGAATCATCCCCAGGCAGACCTTTTTTGCAGGGCTTGCTAAAATTCTGATTCCTGTCTTCACTGCCTCCCATCTCTCCAAAGGAGCTGAAAGGTTAGGAATAGGATTCAGGAGTGTGTGTGCGTGGGGGGGGGGAGTGGTGCTCAAAGAGTGGCTTCTAGGGGTGCTCAGGGTACCATGTAGTGCTGGGGTATCGATCTGGGGTTGGCCACATACCACATACAAGGCAAGCACCTTAACCCCTATACTATCTCTTTGGTCCCAAGTCTGTGTTTGTAACAAGTGATAAATGCAGTTGTCCTGGACCCCATTAAGGAACTCCACCAAGGGAGACCATTAAGGAGTCGCCATGAATATACGCATTGCTAACATGGGCTGAGAAGAAAAGAGCTTCTGCTCTGTAACATTAGGAGAGGAAGGATTTCCCTCTGGGTTTAGGGTGGTGGGAGCTGGGGAGTTTAAAAAAAAAAAAGAACTGTGTGTTTCTGATTTTGTCCAGGAGCTTATTCTAAGGACCAAGCTAAAAGGCCAAGGGGAGAACATGAGTTGAGCTGGGACAGTGAGCGGCGAGCATTCTTATCCAAGCTGTGGCATTCTTGTCCAAGCTGGGCACCCCAGGGAGACTGGAAAGGGCATTAAGCGGGGCAAGGCAAGGACAAAACTACGTGCCTGAGAAGCAAACGGAAGTGTTTTGTTAGCAGAACAGAAAACTGAGAACAAGCAGAAGCTCTAAAGAAGTTGTCAAAGCCAACCTATCTCTTCCAAAGCTCACATGCTCTTTGGTGGTTTTCCCCCCCTCTTCTTATTTCATTAGCAAGTGCCCTCATGAGTAATGTTTCAAGGAGAACGAGGATGTTGAAGACACAGAATACTGTTTCCCCATTCAAACAAGAAGCAACAGACCTTACATTAGCATCCTGAAGACTGGATTTCTTATTGATATTTATAAACGTTGATTCCTCTTTTCCAACCTGTTAACAAAAAATAGGCAGGTTTGTCAAAACCGAGCATCTCAGCCTGCAAGAAAATGTTTTCCACTCTCCTACATTCAAAGGATTAGAGAAATGTGAAGGTGGATGTCGCAGAGGTAGTTCATCATGTACTCCATCAATTACAAAGTTTCTCTGGTGTTTTTTTTTTTTTTTTTATAAATGAACAAGAAAGTTTCCTTGACTCATTATTCCCCATCCTGGGGATTAACACTTAATCACTGAAGTGCAATCATTCTGGCATTCATTCTTTAACTGAGCACCTGCTATGTGCCAGCTCATGCCCGAAAAGAACGGGGTGATGTGGGAAAAGCTAATCCCACAGTTTAATTCCCCACCTCAGATTTTTGATCAAAGATAATCGTCGTCGACACTGAGCTCACGGAGCCCTTGCCATTTATGAAAAGAATTCAGAACCTGTCCTTTCCCATCAGTGTTAAGGCTTGGGAGGAATTATGTAAGAGGAATTTGATAGAAGCCTTGTCCTCCCCCTGGCAAGTATCAGAAATACTGATGGCAGAGGAAGGAGGAAGGGACACCCACGGCACCACGTGGGCCAGCTGGATACACGCCAGAGGTCAGTGAGGGACGTGTCCACCCGCCGCCCTCACACTCATCACGACATAGAACTTGGCCTCCGTTCTCTATACACGCCGTGCTCCACTCTCAAGGAGACTGACTTGAGGGCACTGCATTAGGAGCTCGCCTCACCCGCCTATCTGGATGAGTCCAGTCTTGTCTCCAGATCCAAGCTTGATCAAAGCCTTTCTATTTGTTTTAGGGCCACACAAGGCTTATTATTTTTTTTCTGGACTTGGGAATCACTTCTGGCAGTGCTCAGGGGCCCATATGGGTGCTGGGAATCAAATCTGGGTCAGCTTTCTGCAAAGCAAGTGCCTTGCCCGCTGTACTATCTCTCCAGCCCCCTCAAATCCTTAAAAAAAGAGAGAGACAAGGAGACTGCAATGAATAATATCATGGTCCTTTTTCTTTTTTCTTTTTCTTTTTGGTCATAGCTGGCGATGCTCAGGGGTTACTCCTGGTTTTGCACTCAGGAATTAGTCCTGGCGGTGCTTGGGGGATTACATGGGATGCTGGGCATTGGAACCAGGTTGGCCTCACGCAAGGCAAATGCCCTACCAAACACTCTACCCGCTGTACTATCGCTCCAGCTCCTATCATGGTCCTTTTGACTTCTTCCTTACAACCTCACTCTGTCTTGGTACCGACCAGAATGAATTTGGACCCTAGTCTGTCTGCCTCAGACCCTCCTCCTTCCTTCCCCATACCTACACAGTCCCTCAAAGCTCTTCAGGGGCTGAAGTGATAGTATAGCAGAGAGGGCACTTGCCTTGCATACAAATGACCCAGGTTTGATTCCCAGCACTGCATACGGTCTCCCAAGCCCCACCAGGAGTAATCCCTGAGCACAGAGCCAGGAGTAATCCCTGAGCACAGAGCCAGGAGTAAGCCTTGAGCACCACTGAGTATGGCCCACAATTTTTTTTAAATAGTTTTTTTTTTATCCAAGTTGGCATTTCCCCAAGTTTAGTCTAATGTACTCATGAGCACTAGTTCCACAGATAGTAGTGGGAGCCACTTCCCAAGAGGGCTATAGAGGTGTAAACAAAGAAAAGCATATATATATTTGCTGCAGAACTCCTCAGTATCTCAGAAACAAACACAGATTGTGACTGTCCCAAGGGATTTAGCAGGTAGCATTCCCAGAAGCCCCCAGCTGAAGGGCTAAAGGGTTGAGTCTCCATATATCGTTCTGGGAAACACTAATTTCATCCCCCGCCCCTCCTCCCCTTCTCCTTCCCTGCTTCTACTTCATCTCTTAGGCCAGGACATTTTCTTTTCTACCTATTTCTCCTATCATTTCTACCTTTTGCAAAATGAAATATTTCCAACACACTTCACGAACTCTTTACTGGCCCCTGGAAGATGATATAGAGCCGTGAGGAATATGATAGAACTTTCTACTCCGAACCAGAGCAGCTTGGCATATTGTGAAAGCGATGTTAAGTTGTATTCGTACCAGGATCCTGTAACATGACATACTTTAAAACATTGAAAGTAGAACAAAAGCGAGGGGGTGCATGACTGACAGCACTGTGAAGTTCATCCTCCGGTGAGTGCTTCCATTATTATCTTCAAACGATCTGGACCAGAGAGACAGCACAGTGGGCTGAGCCCATTCTCTGCCTGCAGGAGGCCTAGGTTTGATTTCTCCCAAGAACCACCAGATGTGGCCCCAAACAAAAAAAATACAACTCCTGACTTTTTGACACCCCACTTCGGCAACTGTTATTCTCTCCATTTTCTCGGTTGTAGAGGGAAGGCCTGGTGTTTAGGACACTTTAAAATCATCTCACTCAATCTCCACTACCATCCAAGGCAGTGACTGCTATAATCCCATTTTATGCATAAGGACATGGAAGCTCAGAGAAGCTAAGAGTTCAGAAGGTGATGACACGGGAACAGGGCAATCGACATTCAAATCCAGAGCGTCTAATGTCAAAGCTTCACACTCATATCAAATACAGAAGAAGTTGGTAAGCTTGCCTCTCACTCATGGTAAGTTTATGAAGGAGCTAAATCGTTCAGACTGCTATATTCACAGAGAGAAATCATGGCACATGAGATTATAGAATATTTAATTTATCTTTGGCAACATAAGCACAGATATTACACTTCATAAGGAATGAAGAATATCACTATGTACATTGCTAATAAAATCATGGTCAGATGATAGCTTTTTACATAATTTTCCAAAGGAGGGATGATTCATGGGTTTCAACTTGAGTGCCAAGTGTGATCAACTGGCGGTTACTCCTTGAAATATGATGGAAAAAATGATCCTATGGCTGCGTTTGGATAGCACCATGACCCACCAGTGACTCTGTTCCGAGTACAAGTGAGGGAATTTATGGACATTATTAAACCATCAACTCTGATCTGCAAACCCGCCCTCCTGCCCTCTCGAGTCTCATTTCTGACTCTCTGAGTGACGTGTTCAGAGCGGGTGCAGGGGGAAGCCAGGTCTCCTTCCTGTCTAGCTCCTAGCTCTGAGACGTCACCCAGCCTGGCCTGCATCTGGGTCACTCTCAAGCCTGGCCTCATCACGCCCAGCTCAGTCATTTGAGTACTAGCCAGTCACTTAAGAGTCTGAGCTCAGGCTCTGTGGCAATTGTCTGCTAAGCTCAGAGACACCAGCCACGGTGACCCCTCCTCAGAAGTCCAGCATCTCTTGGGGATCCCTTTCAAAACTTCTACATTTTCATTCTCACAGCATCTCTGTTTCCTTGGCTGTAGGGATAGAAAGTGTTTCCCACCTCTAGTAACTTTACTATCTCTAGTACCTTAGAGTACTCAAAGTATGGACCCTTAAATTAGTAATGCATGAGATGAGTGCTCCCCTCTGCACCGCTTCTGCCCCATTACTGAATCTAATGGAAAAAGCTCAGCTCTGCAGATGACTCTACACACTCACATTTGCCAGCCACTGCCTTTGTTTCCCATTTCGTCCGTTCGGTTACCCATTAATAATTCTTGCTATTAAAACCTCTGTTCCTTTGTGGGGCCCGAGTGATAGAGGATTCGGTAGGCAACTTGCCTTGCAGGCAGCCGACCTGGGTTCAATCCCCAACATCTTCTTCTATGGTCCCCCGAGCCACTAGGAGTGATTCCCGAGTGCAGAGTCAGAAGTAACCCCTGAGCACCACCAGGAGCAAAACCAAACCTCTGTTTGCATCACTGTGTGGCTCCGTGTCCTGCTATGTCCACCCGACAGCATCTCTGCCCCCAAGAACCTCCCCTTACTCTCTGGTCCTGAGGAACTCCTGTGACACCCCCCAACACACACACACACCAGGGGGAAGCACAGGCCCCCACCTGGGCGCTCGAGCGGGATGCGTTCTCCAGCTGGGCCTTCAGAATGTTGCACTTCACATGGTCAGCCACGGGGGAAGGCAACAACGGGGTCTGCAGCGTCTTCTCAGAAACTTTCTTCTCTTCAGCCTGCGACAAACGTTGCATGAGACCCATTAGACGTGAAAAGAGAATGAAGGCGAACTTGCTCACACAAGCCAAGCTGCAGATAACAGGCAGACGTAAATGTATAAACTTAAACAGCACTAGCCCCTTCTATTTTGACCAAGGACTTGTGAGCACTGTCTTGTTCTCTGGCACATTAGGGAAAGACAAATTAGGGATCCCAGCAGAGAAGAGGGTCGAAGAGAGGAGGCTCTCACAGAATCCTGCAACTAATCAAAGGCAGAACCAGGACTCACCTTCTGGTTTCTTAGATCCTCAGGCCTCCTCTCTACCTCCACCCACCATGCAGTTCTGCTTTTTCCTTCTATGGCTCTCTCTTTCAGAGATAGATTCTGTGACTTGTGAAATCAATGAAAGTGGTAGGGCAGGAAGGCAGTCCATGGACTGAGCCCACGCCTTGCATGCAGGAGGCCTACTGTAGGATCCCTGGCATCGCCTGGGCACCTAAACACAACCAGGGACCACCTCTGAGCAAGGAGCCCAGTGTTGCCCTTAAGCACCTCTGGGTGTGGCTCTCAAACCAAAATAATAATAATAATAATAATAATAATAATAATAATAAGAAGAAGAAGAAGAAGAAGAAGAAGAAGAAGCATTGATATTTTTACAGTGCACCCTGCAGAATCCTGCAACTAATCAAAGGCAGAACCCTGCAGAGCTGTGTACTTAACTGAAAATCTCCCTTAGAAACTGGTGGCCGCCGGATCTCCCCAGATTGAAAAAGGTGCCAATCCACCACCTGTTCCTACTGGCGGCTCAGGGCCCATCTTCCAGAGGCCAATGGACAGCCTGATAGAGGCCTGCAGTGACGAGACACGTGGAGCCTCATGGGATGGGGGTGGGGCCGGCCCTTTCCTCCCTCGCCCAAAGGAGACCCGAGTCACTGCTCACAAACAAGCCCTCTGACTATCCAACAAGTGGCTTAAGCCATGATCCCAGAGACTCAGAAACAAATCTCGGAACCCAGTGGCTTTTGGCAGAAATCCCTCCAGATTTAATTATTATGATTTCAGAATTCCAAAATGTGGATGTGGCCAAGCGACATATTATACTATTCGTTATCAGCAGTAGAAAACAAATTGTCTAATGTTGCTTTTTCGGCAGATGTGAGTGCTGGGGTAAAATCCCAAATAATAATGGTGGGTCTGACGCCAAAACATTGAATACAATCAAAATAGAGAGAGAGGAATGTGGAAATCATCTGCCCCACAGGGAGGGGGAGAAAGTGGGATGGGGGGTATACTGGGATTTTTGGGGGTGCAAAATGTGCAAGGGTGAAGGGTTGGGTGTTTTCATCATTGTATGATCGAGACTTAAACCTGAAAGCTTTGTAACTGCTCTCACGGTAATTCAATAAATAAATTTATATTAAAAAAAAGAAATTGCTGGCTGTGTTACTTCATAGGAGAGTGTCTCAGACTCTAGTAATTTAACTAGCTCTTCCCGCCTTTGCCATTCTCCCTGTATTAACTGAATCTGCACCTATAATTCATAGGAGCCAGTGGAGGCAGATTAGCCTGGAACTACCTAATTTAAGCATATGCAAGTAGTAATATATTCAATCATAGGCCAGGTGGCTATTGGACATGTCATGATAAAGTATGATGATTATATAACTATTAAAAAATGCTCATCCATCTGTAGAATCCTGCATCATTCGTGTCAGGATGGACAGCAGTTCAAGACGCAGTTGTCTTAATGCTTGTGAAGCCCATTATAGCCTCGGCTAAGACAGTGCCTGGCACAGAGCAGGTGCTAGTGAAGAAGACAACAATGCCATGGAGTTATGATGCGAAGAGACAAGTGTCTAGAAGCCAACAGATTCTAATCAAGTCTCCATGTGGTAGATCAGCGACCACGTGCGAGGACGAGAATAAAATGTTCTAGGGACAGCTCAGTGAACACGCGGTGAGCACGGGGCTGTGAGTTCAATCCCCGCCACTGTCCCATGCGCTCCCACTGTGATCCCAATGACACTGCCATTTAGGATGTGGAGTGTGTGATCTGGCTACAAAAGGTGTGTGAGCATCGTGACCGTGTGTGTGTGTGTGTGTGTGTGTGTGTCTGTATAATGTGATCTCAGCTCTCTACAACAACAACAAAAATGGAAGGGCAACAATAATACCAAAAAAATTAATACATTTAAAGGCTTCAAATTCTTCAAGTTCCAAAACTAATTTCATTTACTACTCCAAAATTTCCATTGAGTGCCTTGACACACATGGGCCAAGTATTATGAAAGCGCTAGGGGGAGCATAACGTAAGTGGCTGGTTAACCTCATTTACTAAAGGAAAGGGCACAGAAACAATTTTCCCAGTGGGATCTCCAGAGAGGGAAACATTGGGTAGAATAAGGAGAAGTCAGTATTTTTTTTTTTTTGCAACAACAAGAAAAGTAGAGCCAGACGCCTGGATTTGAATCTTGGCTTTTTCCTTATCAGCTCCAGAGAAAATAAAAGTGTGTAAGGACTGGAGAGACAGTGCAATGGGTAGAGTGTTATCTTGCAATCAGCTAAGCTGGTTCCCCAGCACCATGTATGGTCCCCTGAGCCCCACCAGGAGTGATCCCTGAGTGCAGAGCTAGTAGTGCCAGGTACGCCACCTCACCCTGCACAGATAAAAGCATAGGCTAGGAATACAAGCATATTTGAAGTCCTGGGTTCAACCCCCAGCACGGCACAGACCCTCAAGCTCGGGGTATGACCAGGGTAATCCCAGGGCCAGCCAGACTCTGAGTAGCCCAAAGTACTTGAGTGCCATTGGGTATCGCCTCTCTAAAATTTTTTTCAGATTAAAAAAATGATAATAATTATGGTAGTGGTGCTGGTGACAATTAAAACTAAAAAAACACCAGGGCCAAGGAGATAGTTGAAGTGGCAGGGCACATGCTTATTAGCTCGTGCAAAGCCCTGAGTTCCACGTGCTTGTCCCCATCCCAACCTCCAGCACCACTGGGAGTGGTCTCCCATAAATGACTAAAAATTAATGCCAGGAGTTCATAATTTACCGAGCATTTACGGTGGGCCAGCTACTGGTGAATCGCATCCTAAGCTCATTGAATCCTCTCATTTAACCATCCTATTGGGAGGCAGGTTCTATGACTACCCCCATTTTCTAATTATGGGAAACAAAGCTAAGAGATAGTGAGTCCCTTGCCCAAAGGGACTCAGAAAGCCGACGAAAGAGCCAAGATTCATAGCCAGGACTGGGGACTCCAAAGCAAGAGTCTTCATCACCCAGTCATGGGGAGCCCCTTAACCTCTCGGCATCTTTATTTATAAGATCATTATCACAATCAAAGGAGAAAGTAAGATGAGAACAGCAAGTTCATGTGAGTCTTTGGTTAGAAAGCACATACATCTAAAAAAAAGACACCAGGTAAGAGACACTAATGGCCATCAAGCTGGATGTAAAGAAGACTGACTTACTTGATAGGAATCATTATCTTGGGAGACTTGGCAAAGACCCCAAAGCTTATTTATTTGAAAAGATGAGGTTTACCATATCATTTTAAGATAACTGAGCATGCGATATAAATCCTGCTATAATGTTTAATACTAGAAAGGGTGTTTTTATTGGTGTGAAAAGAGTTAATTTTATTTCTTTGGGTTCTTTTTGAGGGGGACACATTTGGTGGTGTTCAGGAGTAACTCCACACAGAGCTCAGGGGACCATATAGTGCTGTGGGGGTTGAACTGGGATGAATGGATGCAAGGCAAGCACCTTAATACCTGTACTACCACTCTGGGACCCAAAAGTTAATTAAAAAATTTTGGGACCACACCCAGTGATGTTCAGGTCTTACTCCTGGCGCAGTGCTCAGGGATCACTTCTGGCAGGCTTGAGGGACCATCATGGATTGCCAGGGATTGAACCAGGGTCATCTGCATCCAAGGCAAGCACACCACCTGTACTATTGCTCCAGCCCTCCAGGAGTTACTTCTTAAATTAAATGTAACTTTTATGAATAATATAGCAATATATAGGAAGTTCTAAAACCCACTGAGGTTTCTAACAACTGCTTAAGGGGATGTAGTTATATTGGCAGTAATGACCAAAGGCCTATTTTTAAAAAATGGAATGCTGCTAAAACAAGAACAGAAAGAAAGTTTAGCACTGATTTTTTTCCCCTTTGAATTCAGGTATTCTGAAATGCTTCTTGGACATAAAATCCATGCAGGCTTGTTCTGATAAGTCTAGACAAAGCAAGAGCTAATGTTCAGCTCTATGAATTGATCCAGGTGAAGGCCAATAAAAATTCTGTAAAATCTGACCATTATTAAATGAATTATATTTGGCCATTTTTATATGATGCACAAGAGGTGTTTTTGTGGTAGAAAAATATCTGGATGACTACCAAACTACAGTTCTGGCCTGAAAAATGGTTCCAAAAATGGCTGTGTTTTCTCTTTTCTGTATGACTGTATTTTGTATTTTATGCTCCTTTTGCATTGTGGAAATATGCTTGATCATTCAATATGGAAATACAGATTTTAAAACATACAAATGAATGAAAATTGGGCTTCGCTTTTTTGAGTTAGAAATAATCCATCTGGGAATGTCAAATGAGGATAAACAAATGATTAGATGCATTTTAAAATTGTTTGTACACACTGTTTACACATTTGAAATCTGATTCAAATCCCTGGGATCATTTTGGGTACAACTTTGGAAGTGGGCAGTGAAAAAGTCTTCTCGCCATTAAATGAAGAAAAGGAATGTACTTACTCCTTAGAAGAATCAGAGGATTCCCAGCCACTGAGACTGGGAAAACACTTTGAAATTATTGGTTCCCAATTGGGATAAGTGATGAGTCTGTTGCAAGGAATGCTTTATTAATGATAAGAACTCATCATATACTCATGTGTTAGCATTGAGTCAAGGTTATTTTGATAGCATTAGCTCAGTGATTTTCAAGCCTTTTATACCGATGAACTGGCACCGATCCACGAGCGGGCAGGGAGGTCGGAAACCACACTATCTATCTTACTTGCTTGTTGATGTATTTGTTCATGTAGAGAAGAAAAAGAGCTCAAGTTATTGCTTCAGCTCCAAGGAAATGCTCAACAACCCACGGCTGTCTCATCTATTCTCTGAACCCAGAGCAAGCCATTTTCAAGTGCCACCAATATTCATGGCAAGTCCAATTTACGGTTCATGAGTTTTTTGTTGCTCTATGCTGTACTGCTTTGAGACACATTTTAAGTATGTATCAATTCCTAGGAAAACCCCTGTTAAAATCATTTAGTGTGTGTAATGCCTAAGAAAAGTAGAAAACCACGAGACTAAGAGTAAGATCAACCCAGAGGCTGTAGGGTACACTGGACTGACTCTCCAGCATCCGGAATTGGGCTGGCTTAATAAGTATTTGTTAACTGCATAAATACGGGTGCCATCCTGCAGGAGAAATCCCTCACAGCTGGCCCTCGGGAACAGTGATAAAAGATGGGAAAGTCTGCCAGGTTTAATCCCATCTATGCTCACCAGCATAGATAAGGAGAGAGGCTACTCTGAGGTCAAAGCCCCCAAATTCTTCCTATTCCTTCTTATGAAGCTAAGCATTAGGATGGAAAACATAACCCACAGGTAAAGAAGACCGTTTCCTTTGAAGATCTTAAAAATTAAATGATACTGCTAAGCGAAATGAGTCAGAAAGAGAGGGATAGACATAGAAAGATTGCATTCATCTGGGGGATATAAAGAAACAAAATATGAGATTAATACCCAAGAATAGCTGAGATCAGCACCAGGAGGATTACTCCATAGCTTAGAGGCCAGCCGGGCATTCTAGAGGAAAGGGCAGCTCAGATAGAGAAGGGAACACCAAATAAAGGGTGTTTGGAGGATCCTCCCAGGAGGGGAGATGCATGTTGAAAGTAGACTATGGACTGAACATGATTGCCACTCAATGCCTCTTTTGCAGACCACAACACCCAAAAGGAGAGAGAGAACACAGGGGATTGCCCTGCCACAGAGGCAGGGGGATGGGGGGATGGGGGTGGGGGGATATTATCCATGGTGGTGGAAAATGGGCCCTGGTGGAGGGATGGGTATCTGATCATTGTATAATCGAAACCCAAGCACAAAAAATTGTAAATCTACAACTGTACCTTATCGTGTTTCACTAAAAATAATAAAAAAAATTAAATGATACATCTAGCTGTATTCAACTAGGAGCAGTTTTGTCCTTCAGGACATACCTGGAAAATTTGGGAATCAATGATGTTTGATGCATCCAGATGGGAGTGGCGGGTGTCTGTGCTACCAGCATCTAGGGAAGCTACAGAACATCCCACAATGCATAGAGTCCTCCCAATTCACAAAGAATTACCAGCCCCGAATGCCCCTGTTGCTGAAGCTGAGGACCCCAAATGTCACTGGTGGAGGAAATGAAGAAGCATGTTGGGGTACAAAGGACACAGAGAAGTGAGAGCCCCCAGATTTCAGCCCCTGCTGTGTGATCCCAGAGAGTCATTGCCCTTCCTGGGATCTCAGATGTTGAGACGGTTGAATAAAATAACAGGTGAAATCCAACGCCAGCATTCTACAGCTGTAAGATAAAATCTGGCTTTCACAAGGCTACCAGTGTGCACCTAAGAACATGGTTTAGGAGGCCAGGATGGTGGTGCTCTTGGTAGACCATGTGCCTTCTGTATGAACAGCCTCGGGTTCCATCCTGGCTACCGTCTGAACACTGGCCCCTCTCCAGCAATGCTCAGTGTGACCTCCATGACAATAACTTTTTTTAAAAAGAAGAGTTTACTGCCCCCCCCAATTGTTTCCCACCCTATTCTTTCATCTTTATTTAATTTCATCTTTTCTTGCATCAACAACTCAAAATCTACTATGTTCCAGGCACATACTTAATGAGAGTAAGAAGGTGGTATGAACTGAATTCTGTGCCCATTCCATTCATATGTTAAAATCCTAACCCCAGGGGTCAGAGAGATACTACAGAAGGTAAAGAGCGAGCTTGCCTTGCACATGACTGGTCTGGGTTTGATCTCTGGAGCCTCATATGGTCCACTGAGCCTGCCAGGTGTGACCCCTGAGTGCAGAGCCAGGAGTGCTCTCTGAGTGCACAGTCAGGAGTGCATCCCATATCCCAAATCCTAACCTCCACTGTGATGGTTTTTGTGGGGAGGGGGGATAGGAAGGTTGGGTTTGGGGGCTATACCTAGTGGTGTTCAGAGGCTATTCCTAGCTCGTTGCCTATATATGTTCCCTGGAGGGGCTCGGGGGACCATATATGCTGCTGGGGATAAAACAAGGGTCAGGGTCAGATGATGCAAAGCCAGGACCTTTCTCACTGTACTGTGACTCCCGCCCTCCACTGTGATAGTCGGTGGAGATAGGCTTTGGGAAGTTTTGTTTTTGTTTTGGGGCATACCCTGTGATGCCCAGGGCTTACTCCTGGCTCTGCACTCAGGAATTACTCCTGGAGATTCTGGGGTGAGGGGTGCGGGGAGGGGAACCATATGGGATGCCACAGATCAAATCCAGGTCAGCTGCACACAAGGCAAATGCCCTCTTTGCTATACTATTGCCCTGGCCACGTAGTTTTGTTTTGTTGGCTTTGGGGACCATACCTGGCAGTATTCTGGGGTTACCTCTGGTTCTGCATGTAGGGATTGCCCCTGATGGTGTTTGGAAGACCACATGGGGTGATGGGGATCAATCTTGGGTCAAGTGCAAGCAAATTAAGCACCTGACCTGCTGTACTATTGCTCTAGTCCCTCTTATTGTCTTTTTTTTTTTGCTTTTTTTTTTTTTTGGAGTCATACCCAATGATGCACAGGGGTTACTCCTGGCTTTGCACTCAGGAATTACTGCTGGTGGTGTTTGGGGGACCATATGGGATGCTGGGAACCGAACCCTGGTCAGCTGCATGCAAGGTAAAAGCCTTCCCCACTGTACCATCGCTCCAGCACCCTCACCCTCCCCTTTTTTATCTTGATTCTTAAAATCTACCTAGAAATTAAACCCAGGGACTCAGGCATACAAGGTATTTGTTCTAACACGGAGCCACATCGCTGGTCCTAGGAATAATTAGATTTGGGTGAGGTCAGGGGGTGAAGCCCTCATGATGGGATTTGTGACCTTCTAAGAGGAGGAAGAATGAGGCTCTCTCCTGGCAAGGGAGGCTGCAGGGCGAAGGGAACTGTCTGCAACTGTCTGCTAGCCGAGAAGAGAGCCCTCACTAGAAACATGAATCATCAAGGACTTCTGATTTTTGAACTTTCTGGCCTCCAGACTTGTGACGTCTGTTGCTTACGTCAGTTCATGGGATTTTGTTACAGCAGCTTCGCATAGAGGGACAGAATAGCAAGGGCTGAACACAGACACAACCCTCCTCCCTCCTGAAACTTTCCGTCAGGAGGGATTCCGATTCTCTGGAATCCTGGAAGCCTCAGGCCTGAGTGACAGCTGAGCCATGAATGCCGACTGCTAGAATACACCAAGAAGGCAGGCAAGGGGACACTGGCTCCACAGAGACATACACACCGAGCAGAAATGTCAGCAGAGATGGAGCAATCCTCCTGGCCCTTATCTCTACTATCCTTAGGTGTTAGTCTCCTATTATGTTACTTTATATTCCACAAATGAGTGCAGTCATTCTATGTCTGTCTCTCTCTTTCTGCCTCATTTCTCTTAGCATGATACTCTCCATTTCCACCCATTTATATGCAAGTTTCATGATTTCATCTTTTCTAATAGCGTATAATATTCCATTTCTCATGTGCTGGGGGAAAAGACAGCTGGGATAGAGAAGGGACCACTAAGTAAATGATGGTTGGAGGGCTCCCTCGGGATGGGAGATACCTGCTGAAAGTAGACTATGGACCAAACATGATGGCCACTTAGTACCTGTATTGCAAACCATAACACCCAAAAGGAGAGAGAGAAAATAAGAGGGAACTGTGCCTGTCACAGAGGTGGGAGGGGGCGGGAAGGGGGGGTGGGGGAAGGGAAATTGGGAACATTGGGGGTGGAGAATGGAAACTGGTGGAGGGATGGGTATTCAATCATTGTATGACTCAAATGTAATCATGAAAGTCTGTAAGTCTGTAACTGTATCTCATAGTGATTCATTAAAATAAAATAAAATAAAATAAAAGTCAGCAGATCTGGGGTCTGGAGCAATAGCACAGCGGGAAGGGCATTTGCCCTGCACGCGGCCAACCCAGGTTCGATTCCCAGCATCCCATATGATCCCCCAAGCACTGCCAGGAGCAATTCCTGAGTGCATGCACCAGGAGTAACCCCTGTACATCGCCGGATGTGACCCAAAAAGCAAAAAAAAAAAAAAGTCAGCAGAGTCGGAGCTGAGTCCCTCCACAACCAGGGCCCCTGGTTTGCCACAACCAGGCAGCCAGGTCAGCATCAGGGTTGGGGGGTGGGGGTAGAAAGCTGAGCCCTGGCACATGCCCCTCTGCCCCTTCTGGCTCTCGGCACCTTGTTGATGTTGATGTGCAGGGCAGGCCAGGCTCCCGCAGCCTTCACAGTCTCCAGCTCCAGCTTCTTTAGATGGGCTGCAGCTTCGCTGAACAGGGCAGGCGTGCCCGGACTCAGTTCTGGAAGAGGTCAGGAGGCGAGAATCAGGAGGCACGAACAATGACTCTGCCCACCCGACCCCCAGATTCCTTGAGTCCGCGCCCCCCCCCCCCGCCCCGTGATGAAGTCTGATAACATCTTAGGTCAGAGTTTCAGCACCCAACTCTCCCGCATACGAGCTGGGTGGCCCTGGGCACTTTATCTCTCTAAATCTCTGAGTTAAACTGAAAATAAAATGTATTTACTTATTTGCTGATAGTTTTGCTTTGGGTCACACTCAGCTGTGCTCGTGGCTTACCCCTTGTTCTCTGTGCTCAAGGATCATTGCTGGTGGTGGGGGCATCTATCCGCTGTCCCCTCTCTCCTGCCTCTCTGAATATCTTTTTTCTTTTTGGGTCACACCCAGTGATGCACAGAGGTTACTCCTGGATCATGCACTCAGGAATTACTCCTGGCGGTGCTCGGGGGACCATATGGGATGCTGGGAATCGAACCCGGGCCGCATGTAAGGCGAACGCCCTACCCCTCTGTGTTATCACTCCAGCCCCTCTGATTTTTTTTTCTTCCAGTAAAAGTAAAATACTTACCTCGCAGGACTGCCGTGAATACGAAGTGAGGTCATACACATGAAAATGTTTTGTAAATGGATAACCACTATGCAAACTGAAAAGTTCCATGTTTGGTCTAATCAGCTTGTCAATATACCCTGGGAAACCATATAAAATTTATTGATTTTGATTTCTGGGCTACTTTGGCGGAGCTAAACATCACGCCTCACACTGGCTTGTATTTCCCTGATAATGCATTAGTATTAAATATTGATTCCAAGAGGAACCTCGTGCCAAAGCTTGGGAACTATCAGGCTCTGGGGAGTGGAACTAAAGGGATGAACGAGCCACAATTTCAGTCTAGGGGGGCGAAGACAGACCCCTGTGCAGACACTCTGAGGAAGAGCAAGGAAAGGTGAATGCCGCCGCTCTGGAAAACAGCATGGAGATTCCTCAAGCAACTAACAAAACAACCACCCTACCGAGCCAGACAGTTCACGTCTAGGTATTTATCCGAAGAAAATAAAATTGGAAATATACCCGCGCTTCCACATTTGCAGCAGATTATTTACAAGCTAAAATTTGAAAAGAATTCAAGCGTGGACCATGAGAGAGAAAGATGAGCCAGAGGCTGGAGAGAAGGCTGAAAGCATCAGTGCAGATGCCTTGCCTGCACTAGACCCTCACTTTGGTTCCAGGTACCACAGGACTCCACCCCCTCTCCAGCACACCCAGGGCTTCCCAGAGGGATACCCGCACAGCAGCCATCGGGGGTCTATGCTCCTGGCTCTGTGCTCACAAGTGACCCCAGCAGTGAAGGGGATTTGAACCAGAGTCAAGGGTGGGGATGCAAGGCAAGTGACTTAAACCCTGGACTATCTCTCCGGCCCCTTTTATGGGGATGTTTTTAAGACTCAATCAACCCAAACAGAAACAAACTCATACATGCAGAGAGCAGGACAGTGGCTCCCGGAAGGGAAGGGGTGATGGGGATGAACTGGGCGGAGGCCATTTGTACAGTGATGTGGAAACAAGACTTTTGTGTAACAGTTATTTATGCAGGTGGCAAATTGTACTGCACACCTGGAATTTATAGGATAATCCAGGGTTTTCCCCAAGGGAAAATTAAGAACCATAGATTCTATTTTTGTAAAAAGCAATTCAAAAAGTGATAAAAAAAATTTTTTTTTTTTTTTGCTTAATTGCTCGAGGAGCAAGAGGAAAGCCACTCCTAGGATGCTGCAGGAGAAGCATGTTGAAAAAAGCCACTGATAACATTTGAGCGGCTCCCTGAGGGATGTGTAGGAGTGCTCTGCCAAGGACAGGGCCAAGGCACCGCCAGCTCTGGGGAAAGGAGAGCACTTCCTGGAGGCTGGAGTCCCAAGAGAAGTGGAGGGAAGGCCGGAGAGTTGGCGGGGTCAGGGAGGGACTGTGCGAGGTCGTGCACAGAAATGCGGACCTTATCTTAGTACCGAAGGCCCACTGAAGGGTCTCAGGTACTGAGACAGACTGCAGCTGTGCTGTAGAAAGGGCCCTTGGATGGTCGTCGCAGTGTGCTCCACACAGGGAAGAGGAAGCCTGTGTGGCCAACGGCCAGGGCAGTGTGGACAGGAATGAAAGGTGAGTCCTGCTTCTTCAACATCAACATGATGCTGACTTCCCAACTCTGACTCAGCATTCCTTCTGGTCTCCAGGTGAAGACCCAAGGGCTCATCCTGCTGGACACTTCACAGTCTCCTGAGCTGTCAGAGCCGAAAGACTCCATCATCTTGTGCCTCTCTCTAGAGAAAACCAGAACCCATGAGGGGCTGAGCTCGGTTGTGACCACAGGACAGTCAGAGAGATAGCTCAGTGCGGTGAGGGCACGCTTTGCAAGCAGGCAGCCTGGGTTTGGATCCTGGGCACTGCATGGCCTCCCAAGCACAAAGCCAGGGATAGACTCTAGCACCACTACATGTGGTACCCCCAAAACAACAACTCCCAAAAAAGTCAATATTAACCACAGACTCTAAGCCTCCTGCCTCTGGATTCTATTTCAACATTTCTCCTAACCACCTGGGATATAGAACCAGTTCCATCCCTCCAATCTGCCATGGGCCAAGTTAGTGAAAAAGAAGAGTCAAAAGGAGGGGCTGGAGAGATTAGGAGAAGAGTGGGTAAGGCTTGTGCCCTGCATGTGGCCAAACTGGGTTCAATCCCTGGCAACCATCTGGCTTCTCCAAGCTTGCCAGGAGTGATCCTTGAGTTCAGAGCCAAGAGTAAGCCCGAGCACTGGGGTTAGCCCAAAACAGCAACAACAACAGAGTAGTAACAGGGAATCTCTGGGAAAATAAAAGAGCAGATATAACAGACACACCAAGTCCAAGTAACCTTTTAAAAAAATTAATTTGACCAGCTACGGAGTCACTGACTCTCCTCTCCCCTGTACTACTCTCACCAGAGCCCTTACCCTTGTGCGTATGAATCTGGGGGGGTGGTCCCAGAAATAGGACAGAGTGGGGACTCCCTGTAACCAGGAACATGGGGATTCTGGCCCCTTGCCCCCTCCTTATCTTGCCCATTTCTGAGTGTGCATTGCCAGGGTCTGTACCAGCAGCCGGGAACTGCTAGGGAAAGATATGGCGAGGGGATCAGAGTTGACACGAAACCTTCATCCCCAAACCTGCCTCAATGCTCAAGGTCCCTGTCTGCTCTTGTCCAGCTCTGGTAAGCTGGCACTCACATGGCCGCTGTCTCTTCTGCACCCCTGGGGAAACCACGCCTGCCCAGGCCACTCTACTCACTTGGAAGGGATTTACTGCTGGAATTCGGGGACCTCAAGGGCCCCTCCTTGTTCTCCAGAGTCAGCGAGAGGCCGTAGTTTGGTTGGTGCTGGTGCTGGTGCTGGTGGTGGTGGTGGTGGTGCCTTCCCGAAGCTTTGGTCGCGAAGGGCGTACCCCCGTTCTCCTCGATGCCAAAAGGGAGCCTGTCGGCACTGCCAAGCCCTGGGGCAGGGAGCGGGTAGCTGTGGAGGGTGTCAGAGGCAGGATTTAGAAATGCCAAGCGCCTTGATATTCCTGGGCGTACTTTATTTTCATTTTGGGTCACACCTGACGATGCTCAGGGGTTACTCCTGGCTCTGCACTTAGAAATTACTCCTGGCGGTGCTTGGGGAGAACCATATGGGATGCCGGGAATCGAACCCAGGTCAGCCACACGCAAGGCAAATGCCCTACCCACTATACTATTGCTCCAGCCCCGTGGGTGTACTTTAGCTGGTGCTTGCTAAGCATGAAAGACAAATGGATCCGCAGGGTTATCACTGAACAGGACACAAAGGGAACAGTGCTCTTGCAGAAAGCGAAATGTGTATATCCTATGAGAAGCTTCACCGTGGGAATGTGTATATATCAGACTTAGAGCCTGAAAATAAAAATCAAAACAACTCAACTTTGAAATGAAATCAAATGATATATACACTTAAAAAAAATAAAGCAAAGATCACAAGCTGTTCTTTAATCTGAAGGAGGAAACAAAACGCAATCATAGGGCGAGACCCAGACACAGTAACAACAAAGTCTCCAATGGAGACGTTACTGGGCCCACTCGAGCAAATCGATGATCAACGGGAGGGCCTCGAGGCCTCGAGGGCGAGAAAGATAGCTCAATGGGCAGAGCAAATGCTTTGCATAAAGGAGGCCCATGTTCGATCCCAGGAAACACACAGTCCCCCGAGCATTGCCAGAAGCAAACCCTGGCCACAGAGCTGGGAGTGGTCTGAGAACACCTCTGGGTAATTCCCAAAAACCAAGTCAGAAGACAACAACAAAAAAAAAGCAATGGGAGAAATACAATTTGTTGAGATACTCAGATGCGACACTGACACAGACCTAACGTTCTTGTCTCCTCCTCTTGTTCACTCCACCACACAGAAAGTCAATGTGATGCTACATCATCCTTCACTGCCAACTACTTCTCCTCATTCTTTCTCTTTGGGTCTCTGGGCCATTCCCAGCAGTGCTCGGGCTCTGTGCTCACTCCTGGCACAGCTCTGGGGGGGCAGTACGTGGTGCCAGAGATAGAATCCAGGTTACATTCAAGGCCAGCGCCCTATCAGCTGCACATTCTCTTCAACACTCCTCACCCCATTCCGATCGATCCTGACCTAGCTGAAGGGCCCCCTGTCTCCCACTAAGACTCTCAAGGCGCAGAGCTAAGGGCTCTCCCTGCCGCCTCTCTCTCCCACAGCCCATCCTCCTGGGAGAAGGTGCTGGAAGGATGCTCCGATCACAGCCTCGAGCCAGCCGCTCCTTCCTCAAGGGGCACGAGTGCCTCTCCACCCTCGTGATTCTCAACCCTTTTGAGGCAGAGCTTCTTTGCAAATCTGACGAAGACCATCCACCTTCCCTGCAGAAAAAGACACACTACCATTCATACTCCCTTTCAGCTCTTCCAAGAGGAGTCTGGAATTACAGGGCCAAACCTAGATTCCTCTCTATCCCTCCTGCCTGCCCCCACACAACCCTGCCCCTTCTCTTTCCAGGGCCTCTCCTCCTGCTGCATTCTCCTCTATACCCTGCGTCACTCCCATCCTGGTCCCTTCCACCCCTTTCTGCTCCCTTGCGCTCTTTCTCAGGCTGGAGTGATAGCACAGCGGGCAGGGCATTTGCCTTGCACACGGCCGACCTGGCCGACCTGAGTTTGATTCCTCCACCCCTCTCAGAGAGCCAGCAAGCTACCGAGAGTATCTCGCCCACACGGCAAAGCCTGGCAAGCTCCCCGTGACGTATTCAATATGCCAAACACAGTAACAACGATTCTCACAATGGAGATGTTACTGGGCCCGCTCAAGCACATCGATGAACAATGGGAGGACAGTGCCACAGTGCTATGCTCTTTCTCTCACGCTTCCTCTCAGCTAAGTACCTGTGCCCCCACTCCAACCCTGCCTCTGCCTCCAGGAATACTTCCAAGCCTTAACACCGGGTCGAAGGAAATCTGCTCACATCCTGGTGCAATCCCAACCTTTCTTTCTGTGCATTTCTGTACACCAGACGCCTCCTGCCACTTCTTCGCTCTGCCCTCACTCAGCGAGCTCACTCCCAGTGTGGTAACTGTGAGCTCATCAGTTACAATCACACTAGGATGAGGTGCTCAGGGAGCCGAGAGGTGTAGGGAGGGGAGATGCTGGGGACGGTGTCCTCACATACAGGGAGCACATTCAGGGCAGGTAGTCGAGGTTTCCTGGACGATCCTGGAACAGACTCCACTTTCTTAGGAAAGGGCCCGTCCCTTCTGTCTGTATGAGGCTGACATTCACTCTTGGGGGCCAGCAGGGGTGGGTCCGAGAATTAAACATGACCAGAATTCTTCATCGTTCTAGATGAGAGAGATTTGTCCTGGGGCATAACATGTATTAAAAAATATGTGTGTTATATGTAAATACATAATGTATAAATATATACTTTACTTTTTAGGAGTCAGAGAGATAGTATAGCAGGTAAGGTACTTGCTTTGCTTAGTTATGCACTTGGGTTCAACCCCAGCACTCCAAATGGTCCCCTGAGCACGGTTAGGAGTGACTCCTGACCAGAGAGACAGGGGTAAGCCCTGAGCACCACCAGGTGTATCCCCAAAACAAAACAAGTAAGAGCTGAAGAAACGTGTCCCCCGGGCCAGAGTGACAGCAAAGCAGGTAGTTTGCCTTGCACGTGGTAGATCCGGGTTCGATCCCTGGCGTCCTATATGGTCTCCTCAGCACCTCGAGGAGTGATCCCTGAGTGCAGAGCCAGGAGTAAGCCCTGAGCACTATCGGTGTGTCACAAAAATGAAAGAAAGAAAGAGAGAAAGAAAGAAAGAAAGAAAGAAAGAAGGAAAGAGAGAAAGAGAAAGAAAAAGGAAGGAAGGAAGGAAGGAAGGAAGGAAGGAAGGAAGGAAAAAAGGAAGGAAGGAAAGAAGAAAGAAAGAAAGAAAGAAAGAGAGAGAAGGAAAGAGAGAAAGAGAAAGAAAAAGGAAGGAAGGAAGGAAGGAAGGAAAAAAGGAAGGAAGGAAAGAAGAAAGAAAGAAAGAAAGAAAGAAAGAGAAGGAAGGAAAGAAAGAAAGAAAGAAAGAAAGAAAGAAAGAAAGAAAGAGAAGGAAGGAAGGAAGGAAAGAAAGAAAGAAAGGAAGAAAGGAAGGAAAGGAAGAAGGGTAGGAAGGAAGGAGAAAGAAGGTAGGAAGGAAGGAACGAAGGAAGGAAAGAAGGAAAGAAGGGAGGAAGGGAGGGCGGGAGGGAGGGAGGGAGGGAGCCCCATCCTTGTGGCTGAGCTGATGGGGGCCGCATACAGTCAGCAGCTACGAGGATTTCCCCACTCTCGAGTGTGTATTTGAGTGAACTGAGTATTTTTTTAATTAATTATTTCCTCAAATTTTTATTAGTGAAACACCATGAGGTACAGTTGTAGACTTACGAATTTTTGTGCTCGGGTTTCAGTTATACAGTGATCGAGTACCCATCCCTCCACAAGTGAACTGAGTATCTGAATTCCAAGTTGTATTCCACACACCTAGCTGGGCACCTGCCCACCCGCAGGTGTCCAGAAAGGGCCCCTGGGCCTGTGCTGGGCTCCACACAGCAGAGCTGCAGGACAAGCACTGGGCACGAGGGGGCGCCGTGCCAGCCGGGGCTCATGGGCTGCTGGGCTACTCTGGCTCCCGTGCTAGCTCTGGCCCCTGCTCTCGGGGAGAGCTGAATGGGGCGATGAGGATGTCCCCCTCGGTTCACACCGGAAACCGAGAAAGGTGCTCTCCGTCCTGAGAGCCAAGCGGGGGTGGGGGGGCGAGGGGGGAGGTGGGCGTGACTCCCGTGCCTTAGAGCACCTTACACTTCACCACCAAATGTCAAAAATATATGTCTAAAACCATATATTCGTGGAGTTCATGCCCAATTCAATCAGCCTGATCAGTGGCTGAATAAATAGTAGTCCTTCTACATTAAAATAATAATAATAAAACCATATATTCATACAATATATTGTCTCAAACTGTGTGTATTCACACCATACATTAAACCATTCTCTTCCGTGAAAAGAAAAATATTTGGGTTTAAAAAAAATTTTCTTTTGATGGTGGTGGGGGCTCCAGCTGCCCCCAACCAATGCTCGGGAGCAATTTCTGCTCTGTGCTCCCGGGTCACTGCTGGCAGTACTCAAGAGACCACACGCAGTGCTGGGGACTGCGATGGGGTCAGCCACAAGCGAAGTGGGTACCTTATTCCCTGATCTTTCCAGTCCCTAAAAGAAAAATAATGTTTTCAGAGACAAGCTTCAGCTGGCCCTGGTTTGGTCTCAAGCTCTGCACAGGGCCCCATGAGCACTGCCTGGAGCCACCCCTGAGCACAGAGTCAGGAGCAGCACCCAAGCACTGTTGGGCATGCCCCCCCAAACCTGTCAGGTTAGCCAGAATGAATCAAAAAAAACATGGAAAAGAAAGAGAGCAACAGGATGGGAGGGTTGGGCAGGATTTGACACGGGGCGAGCAAAAGATTCATTTTTCTTCCAATCCCAGAGGACTAGACTACAGGCATGTCATCAACAGAGAAAAGGAGGAAACCCAGCCACTTGAGACTGATTTTCACTTTTTGCTTGGAATGCAACACAGAGACGTTTCTGAGGTTGTGCCCTGCTCAGGAGAGAAGATTGACATGTTTGATGGAAGAGAGTGGCAGGAGGTGGAGTGAGGGAGAGAGGTTCTCCTAGGATGCCAGGTTTGAGGCTGGTTCTCTGTACCAGCTGACCACTAAGCTATCTGCCCAGGCTCCCAAAAAGCATTTTTTGAGGAGGTCACACCCAGTGATGCACAGGGGTTACTCCTGGCTCGTGCACTCAGGAATCACCCCTGGCCGTGCTCAGGGGACCCTATGGGATCCTGGGAATCAAACCCGGGTCAGCCGCACGCAAGGCAAACGCCCTACCCGCTGTGCTATCGCTCCAGCCCCCAAGCGTTGTTATTTTCTTAATGCCACAGAAATGCAGAATAAAAAGTAGA